CAGGAATATTTTTTGCATCATGGCCATAATCCTAAATAAAGAGCTTACTTTGTCTCAGTTTCCCTATACTTAAGAATATTTGTGTTTTGTAAAATCCTTTAAGATTGATGAGTTTAAAGTATTAAGGCTATTCGTGTCCTTATCTTAAGAGTTTTTGAAGGAATGATGCTAAAATTGCAGTTGATCTTGTCCAGCGTAAAAAAAAAAAAAAAAAAAGATCAATAAATATTGCGAGGACTAACTTTTCTAATTTACAGGGGAGCTGGGCATGTAGGCATGGAAAGCAGTTAGAATTCACTGTCTTTGAGAGTCTTCTTATATGAAACACAAAGAAGAAAGTGTATTTCATCAAGGCAGATGCTGTCCCCCCACAGCCCTGGGTAGGAGCTATAAAACTATAGACACCAAGACTCAAAACACAGCTAGTACGTGGCACTTCAGCACTGAGCAAAATATGATTTTTTTGAGTAAAACGTAAATTAGGTCTGAAACTTCAGGTCATGAATAAATCAAGTTGTTCATCCTCAAGAAACACGTATAGCACATGATCTGTCCTTGTCTGCTATATAAGTGATCTATCCTTGTCAGTCATATCTTTTGTTTTGCATATTTGAATTAGAGTTCTCAAGCTCGATAGAGGAACTGTTCCTTCTAGATATACTGTCTGTTTCTCGTAATTCTTTGTAGATATTTGGCTTTAGATTGTCAATCACATTAAATGGCATTTTAAATCCAAAGGTGCAAAGTTCATAGCAGGTTTCTTAGTATAAATGAGAACTCTCATGTCCCTAAGTCTCTGTCTAAAGTGGTTAGACATTCATTTTGGTTGAAGGAGGAATGCAGTAGCTAGACACGTAACGATAACAGCTAAAATCTGAAGATGACTAACAGGCAAATGGCAGAAATAGGAGTGCTTAGCTCAACACTGCTATACTTTTCCCTTTCATTATATCTGGCTGAGAGAGAGGGGAAGAGCTTAACTCAGTGCAACAAGAGTTGCACTCTACAAAAAAGAAAAAATCAATTATTAATAATAAATTGCTGATGTAATTCATTGTTCTCGCTAAATTTAGAAGGGATTATGAAGGCAAGAACTGGTCAAAACTCCAACCAAGGGTTTTAAGAAGAAATATAGCTGGAAAACCACAAGTCGACAGTATTGGAATATTAATATTCATTTATTTCAAGATGTAAATAATAAATACTATTTTGGAAGCATCCGTCAATAAAACAGATCCTTGATAATTGCCCTGAAATTAAAAATACAATCATAAGAATATGGAGTTGGCATTTTCTGGATAGATGCTCTGCTCCTCCTCAGGCACAGTCCCATTTGACCAGGTACCAGGTAAACTGATGGCCTGAAAAAAAGTGACATTATTTTTCCCAGGACAATAAAGAGCTTTTCACCGTATTATCACTATTTTAAAACTACCTGATCTGCAGAAATGATGCTTTTATAGACGGGAGTGATACTACTCAGTTCTAATATGGTGATATTTCCCCAGGCAGTGAATTTCTGCAGAGACTAAGATCCTGTGAGATGCAACAGCTTGACCAAATTTAGGAAGCATTTGAGAGCTTCTCATGAGACCTTGTGCAAGGATTTAAATATTTCTTTTTTTCTTTGAAGTTCTTTGGTGAGATGAAGATTTGGCATCTCAGACATGTGCCAGTACAGTTACCAATGAGGGAGTCATGGGGAAACAGTGAATTGGTTACTTTATTACTGATGTAATTTATTAGGTTTTCTCGACTACACAAAATTGTTATTGAACAATATTTACTAAAACTGTGAACGATGTTTACTCAAAACAGACAGAAAAAGCCAAGTAATTTGCTTGTATACCAATCTCCCTGGAAGCCAAATTTTGAATAGATTGAAAATTAGCCTGTTTCCATAACAGAAGCTTGTTTAGAGAGTTGTAGTTCTATTTATTCAGTGTTTCTGCAATGTTTTAATTGTATGACTATGAAGATTTTTTTTTTCAGGAAAGCAGGCTGCCTTAGAGCCATTTATTTTGCTGAACCTTTTACCAAACACAACAGACAAGTATTACACATATAATGGATCTTTATCAGCTCCTCCCTGCTCTGAAACGGTTGAATGGATTGTGTTTAAAGATACCATCACCATTTCTGAAGACCAGGTAATATATTTAATTTGTTAAATCCACAATTGTTCTTAACTCCAGAGAAAAAACAGTTTTTATGTATGTGTTAAAAGCTCATGGTGTTCATTACCAGACCAACAACCTGACATTTCTTTTATCTAGATTTTTTTATGAAGCCATTAAATCTAGCTATATCATCTATCTTTATACCAGTACATTGTTAAAATGAGTTATCTTTTGCCTTGTTGAGAACTAGATTCTGAGTCATTCCTTTCCTTCCAGGACTTCCTAACTTCCATGTACTTCCTATCTACACAGGCTATTTCAGCTTTTGGTTTATATTAAGAGCATAAAACACTCTTTCCATATTCCCCAGGCTAACTGGTGGTGAAAGGGTCAGGAATCGCTCCAGCAGCAAACTAGAAAGAGGGAATCGAGGTGGAGTAATGATTCACTGCTGGTACAGACCAAAAAAGGTTCAGTACTGCCTAAGAGAAATCAGTTGGGAGAGTTTACACAACAGTTCTTCCCTCGGGTTTTGCCTGTTACTGGAATCTAGTTAATTTGCTATGACTTCTGACATTTCTTTTTTTCTCACTTTCTTTAGCTATCTGTATTCTGTGAAGTCCTTACAATGCAGCAGTCTGGCTATGTTATGCTGATGGACTATCTGCAGAACAACTTCAGAGAACAGCAATACGAGTTCTTTGGGCAAGTGTTTTCCTCTTACACTGGACAAGAAGAAATTCATGAAGCAGGTATTTATTGAACAGATATTCCTCTCTTTACCGGTGGAAAGACAATTTTAAATACAACATTCATTCTAATATCAGGATATGCATTTTAAATTGTGCAGAAAGTATTGTACTCTATTATTAGTAGTAAATCTATAACTTCAGAGGAAAAAAAACAAGCACTCATAAACATCAGATTAAATGAAGTGGAAAATTAAATGCTTGTCTTGACCAAACATTCAATAAATATCACATCAGTTCAAGCTTTCTTGCACTGCCCTTTTCATGTGTTTCAGATCTAAACAAAGATGCTATTTCAGAGGCTACAAGAGGATTTCATTTCCCAAACCCATCTTGTTCTTAACTGTGTAATGTGGATGCTTCTCTGATAGAAACTGGAGTGAGATCACAAAATTAGTATCATCTTCAAGGTTATAGATAGGTGCAGAGAATCCTGGAAGCCAAAATCTGTTCTCTATTTTACTCCAAAACCCATAACAGTGGAGGTTATATGACCAAAACAGTATGTTATGTAATGGAAAACTGGATCTAGAACTAAATATAAAAGTAGATTATTTTTATATTCATAAGCAACGGAAGAATATTCACCCTCTAGCAGTAAATACTCAGGCTGAACTGCTACTAGGATGGGAATAGGTTCTTAAAAACAGTTGTACTGAACTGCAATTAATTTGATATGTACAAATGACTAAAATGTGTGGCATAAATGTTATCCAAAATGAAAACAAGCATGTTTTTATTTTAGTTTCCCTTGGTTGGGTGAATGTTGTTTCCCTTCCAGCTGGGAGGATTCCATGCATGGAACCAAGTGAGATGTCCATCATTCAGAAGTGCCCCAGGGAGCCCTGCACACTTGCGTGGTGCTTCTTTGCTTCACAGCACAGGGCAGGATGGCTTTACTGCTTCAGTCCAGAGGCGTTTCTATTTTGGCGTCAGTTTCTCATGAACTCTTCAGATATGTGCCTGTGAACCATATTTTTTCAGATTGGTCTTTGGACTTTTTATATAACACGGAGAAGGAATACAGAATTGAGCAGTTAAACATGTTATGACAAATAAACTGCTATTTCAAAATATATCTCCCACAGACATAGCTGATACTTGAAGAGAGTCCTTCCCAAAATCTCTCTCTTTAATGAAGGCCTCTGGGATGCATTAGTGTACCTCTCCTAATATCCATGCCATAGGAAAGAAATGAATCTTCTCAGTCCTTGGTAAAGCAGTCAGTCCGCGGTGAAGAAATGTCATGGGCAAAGCACTTTGAAGACAGAGACCATGACCCCTGCTGCCCTTGTAATCCACTTGTCTCATCAAAGGCTGCTTTCCCCTTAGCCTTGACCCCTTCAGCTCATGAACTGCAATAGAAAGAAGCCACTTCCAGCTGTGCCACCCTAACCTGGTTTTGTACGGAGATGGGCAAGATAATCCTGTGTATGAGGGGCCCTGCTCCCTTGCTATCATGCCATGTGATCCCTTCCTATAATTTCTGAAGGAGCTTCCCATGTGCTGTCTCACAGCAGTGTGCAAGTTAAGCTGTGCAGGAAGTTGCTTCCAACCAGGCCCACTTCTGCGTTGTAACAGAGTTTCTGCAAGTCTGCTCTGTTTTCTGTAAATTCGATATCCATAGAGATAAGGAAGGAATGTCCCAGCCTATAGACATGAGGATCCTTATCTGCATTTGGTTATACCATTGGTGGCACCTTCAGCTTCATGTAATAATTAAATGTGTTGTACACAGAAAACCAGATTCCTCTGTGTGTGCGATTAAAATTTCATACTTAGCATATCAAGAGCACAGAATTTTTCTTTTACTATAGTTTCCAGTTTCAAGGTAGACAATAAGCTTTTTCACAGTTGACTGATAGACTTGTATAACAGAGAACAAAAGGGTTTCAATCTACCGAGTTTAAGAAAAAGTGCTCTGCACTCACATCACCCTGGCAACAAACACATGTAGCATTTATTCCAAACTAGGTATTTAAAGTAAACAGACGTAGGTTAAAAACTCTTTTTTGTCCATAGGTAAGGGGAAACAGAAGAAGATCACTAAAATTTAAAATCTCCTTGATTATATATATTTCACATGTATCTTCATATTTGTATGCACTATATATCTGCAACCTCATGTATGCATACATGTATAAATGTATGCACACATGGATATATAGACACAAAATGCAATTACAGGATTTGTTTAATGTACAGCATTAGAAGAGCATTTATACTTTAATTTTATATTAGCATTTAATGGAAGGTAAATAAAAGCTGTAGGAATCCTTAAGCTTAAATAACGAGGATTAAAAACTGTAGCATGGATAAGAGTATCTAAGAGCAAATAAATAGGTTTACATGTTTCTTATTTGATTTAACTAAGTAGTAGTAAACAGAAAATAAAAAATGAAATTCTTTTGGACAACACAGGAGAAATGGCATGAGTGGGACATGAGACTCTAGTACCTAATTGAAAAATGATTTTTGTGTTGTGAAACCTGGGAGACCTAGGTTTTCTTAGAAAGGCTAAAATCTCTCTATTCAAATAAACAAGTTTTACCAATATATTATATTTTCATGCAGAGACAAACTCAACATTTTTGGTGTGTATCAGCTGCTTTAGTGAGGACATGGGAGATATTTTGTTCTCCAAACCCGCATACTTGGAGATACATGTCATTTTCCTATGTGATATGCATATATGTTCATATGTATGTAATAATTAGATTAAAATAACTAATCCTGACAAAGGATCCTTGATGATTCAATTATAAAAAGCTTTCTGAAATTTCAGCCCTTTATTTCCCCATCCTCACCTTGCATGAAAATCCATTTATAGCTAAAAATCATCATTTATTCCTATAAACTTGAGAACCATATACTGGGCTCATTTTTGCCTTCTGTACTATGGATAAGTGTAGAAATACAATTCTTGTTAATCTTCCTGCATTTAGTGAAGATATATACAATATGGGTTTCTTCAAGCTGAAAACTGACAATATATGTTGATATAAAATATGTCAGCATTTCCACTTACTTTGCCCAGCAAAATAGAACTGGGTAAAATACAGCAGTTATTTTCAGTAAATTGTTACGCAGCAACAGGAGTAAGGACTCAAGAACTCAAGACATTTCCTCTGGTTTAGGATACTTTTCTGCTTACATGTCGGCCTTGCCTCTTCAGCTTGATCGTGTAGGTGTAATATCCAGCGTTCCCTCTAAACTATGCTTCAGTTTATGCAAAATATGTGCCAAGCTCAGAGAAACTTAAATCCAGGTGTAATTTTATTCCTTTCTTTATTGTTATTATCCATTTTAGTGACAAAATAGTTATCTTTTCTGCTAAAAGTGCAGTCAGTTTTCTAGCAGCAAAACCTGTTTCTTTTGCAATGCTGGTTTGGCAGGAACAAAACAATTAATAGGCACTGAAATGTTTCTTAGGAGAAACAGCTCCAAAAAACTAACCCTTTACATCCCTTTAATTTCCTAAGCATCTAATTCGTATATTCATTATCAAACGATTTACAGTGTATTTGACCTCACATTAAGCACAAGGTGTGTTGAGAAAGGAATTTCTGCTTCTTTTCCAAGCAATAATGAATGGCAGTTTAAACCTTAATTTCCAAAATTAGTTCTAATACAGATTAGTTTGCTGCACTGGGCTCTACCGCATAGCCCTGTGAGCAGCTTTAGCCGACCTTGCTCAACTCAGAGAGGGTTTCTGGAAGTATATCCTTATTCTGGTGGCTCGTGTCACAATATCATTCATGCCATAAGGTGAACTCTACTTAACCTTGCAAATACACAATAGACATTTAAAGTTAGAACATCTCAACCTTGTGAAGTTCTCATTGTAACAGTTGTCAGGGATCCAGGCAATTTAAACATTTATCTTAAATCTTTTGCAGTCTTTAATGAACATGTCAAATTATCTAATTAGCAGAAGTAAACATTATCTAGGATAGCTCTCATACATTTCTGTATGCATTTTCTGCCTTATTTCAACTTACCAAAGTTTCCCCCTCACCAGATCTTTATAAAAAGCCTTGTTCCCTTGTGTTCATTTGATGTCTGCATACAGAATGCTGACTGAAGAGGGAAGGAGCAGCCCAGGCAAAATGATGAGGAGACACTGAGTGGGAGGAAAAGAACAGCAGGTTGGGAAGGAAATAATATGCAGAGGAATATCATATAGGACTATTGAAAGATGATGCCCCAAAAGGAGAACAAAAGTGGAAATAACATTTCTTTTATGCTTGGGAAAAAATAGTTTGAAGAACCAGATGGGAAAGGAGTCAAAGTGAAAGAGCAAAAAATTATAGTGGAGACAACAGCCTAAGCATAGTCAGAGATTTCAGAAAAAAAATCACTCCCGTGCAAAAACGAGAAAGGGAGGAGGGCAGAGGACAGCATCAGAGAGTTTAGAATGCAAGTTTAGAACAGGGAGAAGCTTTAAGAGTTATTTTAAACACCCTCCAAAATAAATATTTGAAAAAAAAAACTTTTCTAATTCTAAAAGAAAGTAAAATAAAATAATAAAATCAGAGTTTAGGTCTTCCCTACTGTGGCTCAGGGTAAGAAGGGAGTTGTCTTTGCTGAGCTGATGATTTCCTTGTGCCCTCTGGTGGAAATGTGCTGGGGTAACAAGGTGAAGTAAGTTAATGGCATGTACTCGTGAGCTTATTCTTTTTAATTTGCTCTTTCTTTATATCTCTATTAATATGATTTAATGTAGTAAGTAAAATAACATATCAGATACATAGATCAATACATTCAAAGTTTGCAATCTGGCATAGCTATAGAATTCAAACTAAATTACAGAGACTAACGCTGCCTCCACTGTTACATCTCTCTCTCACACACACACAGAGTCATAATTATCACGGCTACTCTGTCACTGACGACATGAAACTGGAGCATGGCAGAACTTCCCAGCTGCACAGGGGACCACAAAAAATTCATCTTTCAAAATCTTTAGTTTTGAGTGCCCTCTTGTGTTCAAGTGGGAAATTGCGAAGTTAGTCGAAAGTATTTTTTCCCGTTTTAGGCTGTCGTATAGCCCACCAAAAGAGTTCTCAAGGGACAGCTTTTTTTAAGACAGCTCCTAAGAATCTGTAACTCTGGCTTTCCTAATTAGCTAGGTAATTTGTTTGCTTGCTTTTTGCTAGGCACTCAGAATTTATTTTAAACACATTTTTAGACTTCAAAAATGTGTCTACTCATTTACTCCAATCTGGAATGATTATATAGTTACCTGTGTAAAACAGCCAAGCTAAAGTTTTCAGTTAAAAATGTATCCATTTTATGGTCATTTTAACATATAAGATTTAAATAAATTGTAAACTGCCTAAAACCTAATTAATGATTTTAAGTTTACTAGATGGAATAAAGCAGTAGAAATGATGGAATAAATACATGGTTAAGATATACGCTTTTTGAATGACATCAATATCATTCATTTTAGAAGAAATTTCCAAAGAGCAGAGCAAGGGCTGATATCCAGTCTGAGGGTTCAGCCAAAGCACTACAACTATGCAGTTTTTAATAGATGATAAGCCAGTTTCGTAACTGGAAATACCATGGATCTCTATCTCTCATTGTAAGATATGAGAACAAATCTAGTCACTGAGGTTTCAAATTGGAAAAAAAAAAAAAGTGAAAATTTTGACAGTCGTCTCTATTATTTAACTCTCTGTCTGAACCTAGCAGAAGGGATGATGAGGGCAAGGAAGGAAAACAGTATCCCAGGTCAAACCTGAGGCAGTCCTGAATGACATCGGGTGCTTCGGCTGTTTATTATGTTACTTTATTCTTCCACATAAAACAACTTATCAGTCATTTTTAATAATTTTTGCCTGAATAATTTGCATTTTCTGCTAGTACAGTTTGTTCATACACTTTATCTGCCTTTGATCTTGTGTATTGTCCTTAATCCCCACATACAGGTACATGGGTAATTTAAAAAACATGTGACAGAGCCTCAATAAATTTATACCATACTGGTAGTCAGTACACTTGTACATCTGGAAGTGAGTCCACATGCTCAGCATACCTAAATAACTTGCTCCCCTGCCTTGCACCTCCTCTGTCCCACTCCTCAGCCAACTTCTTGGCAGTTGTCACTGCTTTCATGAGTTTGCCAAACAAAAATATAAGGAAAAGGAGATTCTGGTTGGATGATGGTGTGAAAGAGTAAGGGATATGAGTTGGACGGTTTTGGTACCTTGCACACTGCAATTGTGTAGATGGTGCCTGGAGGTTTAATAACATGGGATCACTAGAAGCTAATCTGATTATTTCTCAGCCTCTTTCTATTTGCCTTTGTCTTCTTGATGTGCAATAACCAGATTCAGGCACCCTCAAGAGGAAATTTAAATATGAGAGGTTTGCCTTTAAAGTCTAAAAGCAGTCTATTCTAAAAGCTGGGAGAGACCGTGCTGGTCTTCCAGTAGTTCTCTGATAGATCTATGAAAACATAGAATGATATATAGAGAGAATGAAGGAAGAAAAATAGAATGAATACATATATGTGTGTATATATATATATATACATACATATATTTTCCCCCAGGACATACCTATGAACCTATTCATACCTATTTCATTTCCTGGGGACTGGTTGTGAATCTTTCTCAAAATACATAACTAAAAAAAGAGCAGCAGAGGAGGAGTCTCAGTCCCCAGATGATAGCTTGTTTTTGAGTTTTGAAATCCTATCTATCTATCTCATTTGCTGTAACGATGCAACCAGGACCTCAAGTTTTAGAGTAAAGCCAAAAACGGGGTACAAGAAATGCCTACACTGTCTTTGGCAGGAGGTGTATCAGCATTTCATTAGTTTCATGAGTATTATGTTCTTTCCTTTTTTTTTTTCTTTCTTTTTCTTTTAGTTTGCAGTTCAGAACCTGAAAATGTCCAATCTGATCCAAAGAATTATACTAGTCTTCTTGTTACATGGGAAAGACCTCGAGTTGTGTATGATACCACGATTGAGAGATTTGCTGTCTTTTATCAACAATTGGATGGAGACGACCAGACCAAGCATGAGTTTCTGACAGATGGGTATCAGGACTTGGTAACTGTAAACTCTTCATGTTTCATACAAAGTAGTGATTGCAAAGCACACATTGTTAATTATTTTAAAGCCCTAAACCAATAACTGGGACAGATTCAAAGGAAGTTTATGTCTTTGGTGAAGCCCAAAAAGACTACTTCATTCATTGGCTGTGCAGCTACAGAGACAATTCAAAAGAAAAAAAAACACATATAGAAAGTCTGTATTTGTCCATATGAGAGAAGGCATTCTTAAATTGCTGTTCTTACTTGCTTGTAAAGTTGTAACATCCCCCAAAAAACTGAGCATGTCAAGCTCACATATTCTTAGCCATATAATCCTTAGTCAATTAATAGTGATCTGTACTTCAGTGTTCACTAATGTGTGAACACTGAATGATCTACACAGGCAAATGTGTAGATCAAGGAAAGAATCAGAATCTGCATGGAACTGCTATAAATATTAAGTTGATGATTATAGTTTTGTGAGATTTCACTCAGGAGATCAATTCCCTTTTTTTAGAGAGTCATAAGCTTTTGAAGATAATATTACTTAAACTAATATTCAATATTAAATAATTATGCAGTTGTTTGATATCTCCCATTTAAAAAAAAAACAATTTATTTTTTAAGTTGCATGAGAAGTGTTTCTGACAATAAAATGTAAAAGCATATGTTGGAATACTAGTAGAAAAAGTTATATGGTTTGTGTTGTTATGAAAATTGAGCTTCCACAAATCTGATCAATATTTACAAGTAAATGATCAAACAATGTTTTTCTTTTAGGGGGCCATTCTAAATAATCTGCTGCCCAATACAAGTTATGTTCTTCAAATAGTTGCTGTTTGTTCTAATGGTCTATATGGAAAACACAGTGACCAGGTCATTGTTGATATGCCCCTAGAAGACCCAGGTAAGTGTTGTTTGAGCTTAGGGCTCATTTTTACCTGAAAAAAAAATCTGTATTCAGGGAAGTATTCTGTCTGCAAACCAGTTAAATTGCATGTCTATCAAACTATGCTAAAATGAAATTTCAAAATCATTGCAGTTAACCTTGAGCTTGTCCTTTGCTACTGATATTTTACCGTGATGTAATTCTCCATTCCTTGTAAACACTACCTGTGAGAGACTGCATGTTTATTTTTTAACTCTAAAAATACTCTGAAAAACACCCACCTGATTTCAAATCTCACAAGTAAATCTTTTAGTAATATAATATAGGGAAATAAAGCCATGGTCGGTATTATTTCTCTATGGTTAAACATCCTTTTGATGTCCAAAATGAATCCACACAACTAAAGTTTTAAGGAAACAAGTAATATAAACCAAATATATAAGTTACAAATCTGTATCAATTGATTTTGAAATTTGATTACTTTGATTACTTGGAGTTTGATTTCAAAACACTTGAGGTGATGGAATTCCCTTGCTTCTTAATGTTGCCTTGCAAAAAATCAAAAGGCCTAACAATCAAATCTTACTGATTTCAAAGCCAGATTTACCTCTTCAGCCTGCTGGTAAATACAAAATAATTTGAAGCCATGACATGATCTTGATCTTGTTTTTAATAATTCCTTGAAACATGTAGAATTAGACAAGGTTCCTATCATAGATAGGGAGAGCCATCTTCTGAATTCAGTACCCTGTAATCAATTGTAGGAGCAAATCAAAAAACATTTGACCATGCAACAAACTACTTTTTTGTTTGAGGACTTGAGTTTCTGTTCATTTGTGGTTTGTATTATTTTACATTTAGTTAAGTTATACAGATATGGCAAAGTTCTTAGAGGTATTGTAATATTCTTGGGAAAAAAAAAGGTTAGTTTTTCATTTCAAGGCAACCACATTTTTCACAGTGAGAAATAATATGATTCTTGACAATCTCTAATTCTGAACTAATGATGGTAATGGTCTTAAAATACCATGACAGTGTCTGGCTGAAAGAAGCCGGGGAGAAGATTCAGGATATACCACATACAAACTTTCAAGAAACCTTTAAATCGTCTTTCAAATACAATATATTAGGAGGATATTTTGGAGTCTTCTCATGCTATTATCTACCAGAATTTTCATATTTTTCATCATTTTCATGATAAGGTTTGCCATTTGGCCTGTTTCATTTTTCTGTTTATCCTTTACCTACCTCTTTGATATTCTTCCACTTCCCTCCCTGAATTTGTTCACTTGTGTTTGAAAAAAATGTCTGAGAAGAGGTTTCATCTATATTCCCCCATATTCGTTTCTGGGTCACAAATGAACAGCTTAGCATTTTTGTTATTAAACAATAGTCAATTCAATAGTCGAGGTGCTTCCAAAACTCAGAAGACAGGCATTGCAAAAACTGCTGGTTTGCACAGGTAGTATTCATAGGACACCCTGCTTCTCTGCCATGGATGTATCCCTCCATCAGCGATGAGCAAGACCCAGTTGGAAGCACCTCCTGGAGTTCCTGGGGTGCATGGTCACCAAGGCAGCATAACAGGGAGGACCACATGGTGCCCCAATGGGTGTGCTGCTGGTCACCAGCCTGGGGAGAGGCTTCTGCTGGTGGCATCAGCAGCCCCCAGTACAGACACAGGCCCTGGCAGCTGCCTCCCTGGCGTATTCTGCTAAAGTCAGCAGTAGTTTTGCATTAATCTCAGTAGAGGGATTAGTGACTGACTGTCTTTGGAATGTGTTCTGCAAAAGTCATTGTGCCTTCCAATATGTCTGCTCTGAGCTTTGCATACAAACCCAATAAGAGAAGTTTTGGTGCAATAAACGTTATACCTAGCAGTTCTGAGAAAAGGTCTTACATTCTTCTGCCTTTTTATGCAAGCACATCACTAATGTTATTTTGAGAGAGAAAGGAGAAAATAAAGCCTAGGAGACATAATAATGTAGACATGCAATACGAACAAGCTAGTGTAATTACGAAAATGTTATTTTTTGCATTTCCTTTCATTTGAGCATTTAAGTGTCTCCTTAATGTTGCATTAAAGCAAACGAATGTATATAAGAATAATATTATCTTAATTTTTCTTCTTTTTAAATAAAGCAGAAAGAAAAGAGTAATTTGGATATTCGAATTGTTTATACAGCTATCTTTTCAATTTTTAAGCAGTTCTGACATTTTGTAATTGTTTCAGGTTAGCCTAACGTATTTCCTTTAGTCTTTCAAGAGATGTAATATTGAGGATACTTATTTCAGGTCAAACAAATAGTTTTGATGGATGCCAAAATAAAACTGCTTTTTGGTTTCAGGGGTATTTTAAGGGTTTTGTTTCTTTGTTTGTTTTTGAGAAACAATAAGATGTTTGTAACTAAAAATGAAAGAGCAAAATGCCTGTCTCAGTTTTGAGTATCTCAGAAAATCTGTCCTTTTGCTGTGCTTCATTTCTTAAACTGACACAAAGTTATTAAATCTACTTTGTGTTGTTTTAACTTGACTCTTCCACATTGGTGGAAGAAAGTGGTGGATAAGGAAAGGTCAGAGAAAATCCCCTCTCGTGTAACTGGGATAATTACTAGGAATGTACATTACTCTATAAGTAAATTTTATAAATGATGTCTCACCTTTGGATATAATTTTAAAGGAAAAAAATAAACTTCCATTCATTTCTAATATTAATTAATGTTGTATTTACATACTTATATTTACTAATTATTTACATCTGATTAACTTTATTAGAAATATTAAACAACAAATAAGGGAATGTAAATGTCTAATGAGAAAGATTTGTTCAGAGTAACTTGCTGGTTACAACTGTAACTTCAAACTGGTTTTGTGATCTGCTTTATAGATCTTGAGGCAAAAGGGGATTTCTTGGAACTCCTGCTTGTGAATTTATGAAAGAAAAGTTATCTTCACCATGAAGACATGAGATAAAATTGACTCATATAAAGCATAAAATAAATGTTCATATTCAAGAATTACTCTGAGTAAAACAGTTTAATTAAGATCAAATTCACTACAGTCACCTCCAGATCAATTAATCTACTTATTAAGAACTTAAATGGGGCATAATCATGGAGAAGCAATAGAAAGACCCTTTTAGAGGAAGAATTCTGCCCTTGGAAAGGCTGCATTTAACATGAGGCAAGTTTGTGTTTGCTACGCAACCCAAAATTGATTTTCAGAAGACTTAACTTCTACCATTGTTTTAGCCTTTTCCTTTATCAAAACATTCAAGAGAAGGCATTTCTCCACCTTATCTGTCATTCTATAAAGAGTTAGTGAGGACTGTGCAGGCTCCAGGTAATTTACAGATCTCTTGCTCTCAGGAATACTTCATAAGCAGAAGGATCTGTTTTGGACCATGCACTCTGCAAACTTCTCTCTCCCCTGTTGATTTCTAAAATCAGTTTCTAAAATATTTTTTTAAAAAAAATCTAAACTTCTCAGAGCAGTATCGTGTAGTAAGCCTGTGCATGGGTATGGTACTAGTTTCCCAGTAGTGACAGTGACCAGCTGCCCTGCGTGACTTAGCGACCCACCTTCTACTGAAAGCGAAGGGAACTATATGCATAATGCTGTAGTCAGCTTGAAGAAAAGTCCATCCACTATTTACTAAATTGTCATTTGCTATTAGAGCTATTTTTGAATATTTACAAAATGCATGCTTTTTACTCTTTAGATAAAGTTTGTATAATGTTGAAAGTTCTGCAGAAGTTTGTGGTGCAGTTAATACTGGTGGTACTTAAAAGCTTCTGTTGACATAGGAAATGAAAATAAATAAATATCTCTCCTCTGATCCTTCAGTATGGAGACTGTGGTCGTAATTTACAAAAAAAAAAAAAAAAAACCCAGGCTGGGATATTGCTTTCAAATACTGTCTCCTTCCTGAGAGCTCATGCTGTCAGCAATGCTTTGTGAGGATCTAACTATGCAAATTTATTGTAACTTGTCTTTGTGAGTGATTTTTTGTCCTAAAAAAAACACTAAGATATCTTAAATGTTTCACTTAGGGTATGCTTTTTGTAATTTTGTGCTTATGAATGTAGATATCTGAAAGTTAATTTAAATGGAAGAAAGAAGCTTTGTTGTGTCTTTTGTGTTATCACATAAGATAGTACAGAACTGAAAACAGTTTGTGGCATGAAAATTATTATACAATTGCAAATTAGATTGTTTTAAGTACTTTTTTTTCCTAGATTTATATCAAGCTTAAATGTAGGGAAATAGTTGTCCTTTCTGTGGTCTGTGTTCTATCATTTCTTCATCTATCATTGCAATGCACTATTATATGAAAACACTTCTTTAAAAGTTTCCAACTAATCATTTAATTATTTTATTTATAAATGTAAGCTATAGATTAATCAGTGTGTCGTTCCATAAAAAAATAAAGAGTCTGCTTATTGACCTACATCAATGGGTTGTTTTTTGCGGGGAGGGGAAAGGTTTTTCTTTGTTGGAGGATGTTACTGCATTGCTAATATGCTATTAAAACAAAAAATCAGGAGCAAGATTAATATAACTTCTGAAAATATTGTGTCTAATGGTTCTGACAAATACTTTTATGACCAGCTAAATTTTCAAAGGCTTTGTAAAATGCCTGGACGTATAGTGTGGTTGATATGTATGTTTTATATATAGACACGCACGCACACACACGCACTCCTCTTCATGGAAGCAGCAGGAGGAACTGAAGTTTCCTGTTTGTGGAATTAAAGAACACATACTATATCGTATAACTTAATAGTCACGACTTTTTTTTTTTCTGATTGTCTGATTAAACCTTTGCTGAAGAATAATGACCGCAAAATGAATAGTTAGCACTTCTCTGTTAAAAATATTCTTCAGTCCGTTGAGCGCCTCATACACGTTATGGGTCTACTGTAGAAAGACTTTTCAAATTAATGTCTGCAATGTTTGATGTATATCATTGAGAAGCCAGGGAATATCATTATCTCCTCCTCCCCTTCCTCGCCCCCCCCAACCCTGGAGCCTCCTAGGCTTCCAGGAGGCAAAGGTAAGATAACTTTTCTCTATATTGTTCATGAGATAATGGCAAGTGGTTAATTCAGTACTTAGTAAGGTATAGAAGTTTGTTATAAAAGAATAATTTATAAAACTTTTGCATAGGATTTTTCGGTTGATGCTTTTTTTTACATTCTGGAATCTACAGATAAAATAATCTGAGTTTGATAGTGAGATAATCTAATTGTATGCTGCATATAATATATGTTTTGAAACATTGATCTGGACAGTAGAGAATGCAAAATAAGTCATAGATGTCCTGACTTTGTAGAGATAAGAAATATAAAGATTATATCTTTATACTAGCATTTCAAGAAAAGCGAACATTGAACTCTGTGATGCTATAATTTCAATTATTTCTTAGGCTAAAAGATTCACATTTGAAGACAAATCAGTCTTCTAGAGATACACTAGTATTGATGTATAAACACTGAAGTAGAATATCACGTAGGGCAGTCTGAGGAAGATTCAAACATAGAATGGATGTTTCTGTGGATAAAAGAGCAGTAAAATACCTTAATGCTGTGCAAGTGGTATTAGATTTCATCACTTAAATCACACACGTTGAATCATTTGAGGCCCATACCAGTTCCTACCAGAGATTTGAAGGTTTAATGAAACCTGCTTTGGAGCCTGTCTTACTGAGCACCATCAGAAGCAGAATACTGGATGTGGCTAAAAATACACTGAGGAGAAAGGTGAGAGACTGCCTCTAAATTGTAGAGATAAGAAAATATTTAAACTTTAGTTTAATTTAACTATGTAGAGATAAGAAGAATATTTTAAAACTTGTGGATAAAATGTAGATAAACAGCTGATTCTCAGATTTACCTTTTCTCTCTCTTCTGTCATTTCTGCGTTAAACACCACTTGCTTATAGACAACATTCTTGTTCTTAGTTCCTTTGGCCATAATGTGGTTCCTCAGTGCAGATTCAACAGGAGTTGCAGTATCAAAATGAGGCCAGTCAGAACTTTTGTGGCTTAACCTGTTATTTTGTGGTACCCGTGCCTGGGCAAGCACAGGTACGCTCACAGATAGTCCTCAGTGCAGGGGGTTGGCCACTTCTTCAAACAGAATCCTCTAAAACATCTTAGTCTGAGTGCCAATAGATGTATTAATTAATCAATTAAATCTTTTCAGAATTAATAATTCTGTGAATTTTAAATGTTGGATGATATTGTGTATCTATATATATATGTTTATTTTATAGAGGCTGGCCTCATTCCTGAACTGAAGGAAACTGAAGAATATGAGGTATGACATTATTTTCTTTTTAAAAGGGCATTTAAAAGTAATACTTCTATTTGAAATAAATGAGGCTATTATTGTGTGAAAATTTACCAAACTATGTTGCCAACGGAACATATTATCCGCATTTCTATATACATGCACAAGTATGTATACACAAGTATATACCCTGCTTGTCCAGGTATATCTCTCTAGACAACTCTAGATCATCTACATAGTTCTTTAGAGATGGAGATATATACAGAAGTTAAGAATATGCCTAAATATTTTTTTTTGGAAAATGGGATATCAGGATGCTGAACTAAGTCTTAACTCAGTGAAATCAGTGACAAAACTGTTCATGTAGGAGAATCATAGTTGATTTTTTTAGAGCTATTTGGAAAAATATCTTCTTGACCTTGGTTATAACAAGTAAATCTTAGCAGTGTGCTAAACTAATGTAAGGAAGGAAGGCAATTTTGATGAAGAGCATTTGTGTGTGCCTTTCACACTACTCTTGAATGGCTTTAACAGCTGTCATTTTAAACCAGAAAATTACAAAAATCAAGTGTCAGTCACCCTTACTTCTTGAACCCAAGTCAAAATTTAAATGTTATTGCAGTACATCTCTTTTCAACACCATTTTGGGGTTTTTGCCATTTCTACTGCAGGTTTGATAGATGCTTTTGGTGACATTTTAGAAGTTGTTGTGACAGGTTTTTTTTATGGCTTTGCAGTTAAATATTGTTTTCAAGAAATAATCATGCATATGTATAGAATACATATTCTTGAATTCTTGTAACTAAACATTTTGCTTTAAGAGCAACAATCTTTTCAAAGGTTTTCTGCAGTTTTGATTTTTGTTTTGTTTTGTTTTATGAAGCCAGAAAAATGTATTGCAGTGTTTGGTTTGTGTATATTGTCTATAAGCATTTTCAACTTCTTTGACTATGATGTACTTTCAAAGGATGAAGTTGATGAAAAAGAAACAGGGGTGGATGAAGAAACTGCAGTGATTCCTAGCACAGATAGTGCAATAAACCAAATAAGGAAGAAAGATTTCCAGGTGACTACATCCAGCGATAGTCAAGAGAAAATCGGCACCAAATCTAATGATGCTAAAACAAATAGGTACTTAACAAAAGAATTGCATGATAAAGAGGATGTTTTCAAGGCAGTTTATTATCCAACTTCTCCACCTGTTAGTGAAATTTCTGAAGAAGAGGAAGATCATTTTCAGGAATCCCAAACCATTACTGGAACCCCTCCTCAGCTCACTGACTCCACCAAAGGTATTGAAGAAGAATACATATACCTTTCTTCAGGCACTGAGCCAACAAGAAAGATCACTACTGGCCATAGCGAGCAAGATTTCTTATTGTCTACTTTTATACCTGATAAAGAATCTGAAGACTTTTGGAGTTCCTTTCTTACCACCTCTTCATCACAGTTGGTTACAGAGGAGACCTCCGAAGAAGACATCCTTCCTTCAGGAAGCCCAGATATAACCATACATGATGTTCTTTCGCAGGGTTCTATTAAGCACGTTTCAGAAGATGTAGCACCCTCAAGCTCTGACAAGCCTCCAAAGCTCACATATTCCACTGATGGAAATTTATGGTTTCATAATGCTACAGATGCAACAGCTCAGTCTCCTGATACATTGGATAGTAAGCAATTGTCTCAGACCAGCTATACTGATGCTTACGTTGAGGGATTAAAGCCAGCAACAATACCCTATTCCAGTGGCCCACTGGTTTCACAAGACACTTCAGATGCGGATTTAGAATTGCCACATTACTCTACCTTTGCTTTCTCCTCTGCTGAGTTATCGCCTCATTCTCTCTCTTCAAGCTCTGGAGAATATGATTCTGCTTCTGCTGCCAGTGAGGTACTCTCTCAGACAACTCAACCAGTCTATAATGGTGAGATACCTCTTCAACCTTCCTTCAGTAGTGAAGTGTTTCCTCTAGTCACCCCTTTATTGTTTGACTCTCAGATGCTCGACACTACCCCTGCTACATCAGGTAGTGATGTGACCTTGCATGCTACACCTGTATTTCCCAGTGTTGATGTGTCATTTGAACCCACCCTGTCTTCCTATGATGATGTACCTTTGCTTGCATTTTCCTCTGCTTCCTCAAGTAGTAAAATGTTTCACCGTCTGTATACGATTTCTCAAATGTTTCCACAAAGTGCTACTCCAGCTGTTACAAGTGATAAGGTGTCCCTGCATGCTTCTTTGACATTGGCAGAGGGTGATACATTAATACAACCAAGCCTTGCTCAATATGCTGATGTGGTGACACATCAGACTACTCATGCTGCTTCAGAGACATCGATATTTGATCATAATAGAACTCATATATTTTCTCAAGCTGAACCATCCAGCAGTGATTTAAATATGCATGCACTGTCAACAATGTCTGAACTTCCTTATGCTTTATCTAGTAATGTGGGATCCCTCCAAAGCTTTACTGTTTCTTACGACTCTGCAGAAATTGTGCATGATTCTATTGACGTATTTCGTCAAGATCCTTTATTTAGCAGCCATAGTGATGTACTGCTACATAAACCTTCTTCTGTAATATCACAAGCTGATACTTTGCTGCAGCCTACGCACTCTCTATCTAGTGGTATGGATTGGTCTGAAGCATACTCTGGTAGTGAGTCCCTTTTGCCTGATACAGATACTTTGACCATACTTAATGTTTCTTCATCTGATTTTATAGATGAAATTACATATGAATCATCTGGCTTTAGTGATGGTAATAAGAATCTCCATAAAAGTGATATTATATATGGCGATGAAAAAGAACTGCAGATTTCCTCTTCTTTAAGTGAAATGGCTTCCAGTGCTGAAAACAAAGTGACACCTGAACTTTCTACATATGTTTCTAATAATGATATAATTAAGCAGAATATGTCTCTGCAAGAAAGCCCACTTCCTGTTTCTAGCACAAAGGGAATCCTTCCAGTCTCTCTTGCTTTCCCCACTACTAAGATATTTGATTCTGATGTTAGTAAACTTACAGAAAATCACCTTTCTGTTCAGCCTTTGCATGTTACATCTCCAGCCTTTGATGACACTTTGCTTAAACCTGTGCTTAGTGCGACCTCAGATCAAACTCTCTCTGCCCCTGCTTATAGTGAAATGTTACGCTCAACACAGCCGTACCTTTATGAGACCTCAGCTACATTAAGTAATGAAGCATTACTTCAATCCTCCTTTCAATCTTCTGGTGATGACACTCTACTTAACACAGCTGCAGTTGTATCTAGTGATCCAGTGTGGGTTGAAAGCTCCAGGGTTTATAGTTCTACATTTGACCAAATACTACATCAAATGACAGCAGGTTCGGCTGAAGAAGAAACAATCCTGCATTCTACATCTGCTCCTACTGTTGCTGACATGTTGTCAAACACTTTTAGTAAACCCACAGCATCACTTCAAGGTGTATTTGTGTCTTATGCAAATGAGGAATATATTTCATCCAGTTTGTTTAACAGTGAAGATGTTCAACAGGCTATGCCTTCGTTGTATGGTAGTGATGTTTCCTTCCAGCTGACCAGTTTAAAAAATACAAATGCCATTCCCCCACATGCAGCAAGTGCTCTAACAACTCCTTTCCTAACACCTGATAATGTAGCTGCTGCTCCAGAAAGCCATACCTCCTCAAGTATTTTTGAAAGAAGTGAGGCTACCAGTTTTTCTTCGATTTCTCCAATTGTTGTTGAACCTGTTCATATGTCGACAGTTGTTTCTGATTCTGATGTGTCCATTCATCACACACTTCCTTTACCAAATGCACGTGTTTCTGTTATGGCTGTTTCTCCCAAAAGTGAAATCCCTATAACTCTGAGTAGGTTGCTGGTTCCTTCCAGAGAATCCTCTGGGTTGTCTCCCAGTATCATGTCCAGTACTGATTTGTGGCCTTCTGTAGTTGAGGATGACTACGATGAGTATGATGATGGTTTCCCTGTAAGTAATTGTATTGCATGCAGTCCCCATAGAGAATCACAGGACACAGTAGTAGAGGAACAAAACACAAATGTAAATAATAACAAGGATCAGAATAACCTAATTATAAGTTCACATTCTGAAAAACCTGAAGAAGAAGAGAAAATTTCAACTGCTGCATCAGACAGTAAAATAAACCATGGCATGGACAGACATAATTACACATCAGTCCCAACTTTAACAGCAAGTGTGATCCCTAAGAAGAGCAACAACAAAACAAATTTGGAGAACCACATTCAAACTCTTAGCAAAATCCCATTGCAAAATACATCAGAGCCTAAATCTTGGGCTGTTTTTACAAGTGATGAAGAAAGTGGTTCTGGCCAAGGTACCTCAGATAGCCTAAATGATAATGAGACTTCAACAGATTTCAGTTTTCCTGACCTTAATGAGAGAGACTCTGAAGGGGCAGTTGAAGCAGGTAACTCAGAATTAACTTCTGGATCATCACAGTCATCAACCTCGTCTGTAACTAGCGATCATTCATCAGTATTCAACATCTCTGAGGCAGGTTAGTTATGGATAAGTCTAATGCATACCATGGAAAGCTGTGAGGGGATATTTTTATGCCCTAGAGAATGAGAAGCTTTTCTACATATATTATAAAGAAAGGACAACAAAACAAGGCCAGTGGGCCTGGAAGTGCATGTTGAGCTGGCTATCTCATAGATGCTACTTCTGTCTACTCAAAATAGCAACTGAAACACTCTTTAGTAATTAGGTTAACATTCTGCCTTTCTGATTTATACTATCAGTGGACATTGGGTGGTACACCATTTAAAACAGAGTTTGTTTCACTGTTGTATCATCTTATTTTTTAAGGTTTAAGAGGGCAATAGCCTCCAGGCTGACCTTTCAGGAAAGAAAAAAAAAACTCTAATATTTTGTATTTTTTAGTTATGGCAGCAAAGCATAATTTGCATATTATGCTTTGTTTTGTATTCTTCAAGTTATAATGAGCAAGGAAAAAGATGTTTCAGTTTGATTCTGATCCATCTTATAAAAACATTCATTTTCATTCTTAGGGCTTTTACCACATTTTCAAATTTCAATAGATGCTGACAATTTTCTGCTTATTTCCAAAACACTAGAGCCAGATCTTCTTGCATTGCCTATAGGTGTTGTTATTTTCCTCTCTGATTAGACCTCTTAAACTTAGTGAAACTATTTGTGAACAATGATTCCAAGGATGAATACAGAAGGCAAAATTGCACCTCATATGGATAAGAATATAAAAAATCTAAAGCATTTCTTTTGTATTTAAAAATATATTATGCAAAAAGAACTATTCAGATGCATATTTGAGCTGCCTCTTACAAGAATAAAGTCAGAAACAATATCTACTGTAATGATAAAAAAAAAGAAGAAGAAGAAAAAAGTGGTGTTTCATTAAAAAAAATGAATATGGGAATTTCATTAAATATTCAAGGTATCTGTAGAGGGCAGTATTATCCAACAAATTCCACCTAAGGAAATGAATCTATGAAATTTTAAGCCCAGTCCTATAAATACTCAGCTAAATCACATGAAGTCATATTATATGTAAAAGAATATTAATATGACAGGGTGATAGATTGGCACTCTGTGTGTTTGGAGCTAATGGAATGTGAAATAAAATAGAAAACATACTGAAATTAACAGAAGTCCTACCAGCTTAGTCACAGAATCTGTGAGTTAATCCAGTAGGTAAGTAGCTATCAAGTTGTATAAAACACATAAGATTTTTTTTAAAGTTCAGCAAAAATAACATGAATATTTCAAAACTTACATTAAATTTACTTTAAGCAGATGGATGTTATTGTAAGAGATTTATAGTTTACATAAAAAGTGTCATTTTCAATTAGCAATGAGCTTGAAATGTTGTTGGTAGTAATTGAAAAGAATCATAATGACTGAAGTAGTAGTACAACAGACCAAAAATTTGTGTTCCAGATATTTTTGAATGACACTATACATCATCACTTTATATAACATTTTTTTCCAATAGCTGATACCAGATATTGTCTTTTAATAGACTGAAAATAAAATGTGAAGGTCTAACATGAAGTCCCCTGCAAATCAAATCATCTTTGCTTTAATTAAAAAGCAATTTAAAAGAACATTATCAGCAGAGAACTTCTGTATACATCAAAGTGAATTCATCAGAAGCTGTGTTATGTTGTTTAATATTTATTATTTAATCAATTATTTACTATTTAATATTTCAGAAGAAAATGAGCTTGTAATTTAAATTGTGAGTTAAAATTGTAAATTTTAGCTTTTCCAACTCTTCATATGCAAGTAACCAAGGGGATCTAAACATGCTTATTACAGAGAAATCCACTATAAACGCGTCTGTCTTTCCAGCAGCCATCGTTGGTGTAATGGCCAAGTAGGCAAGAAGCTGCATGTTAAAGGAGAAGGTCTGGCTGCTTTTTACTCCCAGAAAGAAGGCTAATAGAATTTTGTTATGCAATTTGAAGGAATGCTGTCATCACACAGATATGACCAAGTTTTATCCTGTAAATTAGTTCAGAGTAGGTTAAGTGAATATGAATTCTTCAAAGGGATCATATGCTGATTTCTCATGCAGATATGTGGTTTCCACTGAAATCATTAGGAAGTACTGATTTTAGCATGCTCAATAGAAGCTTGGGAACAGATTTTCAGAAGCAGCTTCTAACACTGGCTACCACTTTGTGCCTTCAATCCACCTAAACTCAAGCACCTAAACTCAAGAAAATTAAAGTGGATAACTGCCGTTTTTGTTTTTGTTTTGGTTTTTTTGACATCTTAGTTAGACACTCGCTTTGTTGTCCTTTTTGCAGATCCAACTACACTGTCCGTTCCCTGTTTTGTCTGAAAGCTTTTTATCCATGTATGAGTTAGTTATTTAGAATTGATTCCTTGAAAGCCCAGTGTGGTGCAGACTGTTTTTGGACATGAAATTTCTGCTTCCTTACAGGATTTTGATTCAATTATGACTGAACACAATTGCAAAAATCATTTAATTATATTTTTTTAAATCTTCAAGTTAAAGTATGACAGTGATGGTATCTATATTAAAAAAGCCACAAATCACAACAAAATGCAAAGATTGAAAAGGTCATTTTATATCAAATTTACTGTTTTAATATGTTTACTTTTGAGATTCTAGGACTATTATCTTCTATAATATGGTCTCTAATTTTAATGAGATTATAAATTATTTTGTGTTAATCATAATATAGATATCCAAGTCCAAATATTTCTGTCATCCAGTGTTATAAGGCTGACAAAAATAAGAATTATAGATAACATAGCTATTTAAATAATAATTTTATTCATAGTAAGCAGAAAAGGAGAAAATTAAATTCTGGCTCCAGCATAGTCACGAGAAGGAGTGCTGTAATTGAATTCAAAGGAAACAGGATTTCTCCATGTACCAATGTGAAAAATTACAGAATGGACAATGTACTAAAATATAGAAGCCCTAACTATATTACAGAGATTGCTTAGTGATTTTATATTGTAGTAAAAATATCCTGTTACATTGTTAGTCAAAGACAAGTTGTTTTCATTATATGAATGGTAGTTTAATATCAAAGTGTTCTTTACACTTTCCAGTGTTATCTATTCAGATCCCTTAATGCCATTAACTTTCAGCTAATAGACTGATGAAAATAAAAAGCTTTCTTCTCCTAATTATAACAACAATCTGCTGCTCTTACAAGGAGAAGTCTCCACTGCTGGAAGGCTAATTCACATAAGCTTGAACACTTTGCTTTACTCTCTGTCTGCTTTTTTTTTCTGTAAGCTGGTTTGCAAATGTATACATTTTCTGCAGTGCATAGTAAAAAAGAGAGGTAAGTGTCATTAAGTAGGTTAAGACACCTCGCTTGTGCTATGCATGTGTCAAAATTTAAACGTGGACTGTTTCAATTTTCTCTGACTGCAGAGGCAAGTAATAGTAGCCATGAGTCTCGTATTGGTCTAGCTGAGAGTCTGGAATCAGAGAAGAAGACAGTTGTACCACTTGTGGTCGTGTCAGCCCTGACTTTTATCTGTCTAGTGATTCTTGTGGGTATTCTCATATATTGGAGGTAAGTAGTTTGTTTGTTTGTTTCAGTTGCAAAGAGCTCTGAACTTACAAAAGCGATTGGCATTGTTGAACTGAGCAAGCTCCATAATCTAGTCAACAGACTGGATCCTGTCTTTCACAGTGTCCTTGTTTCCTGCATGTGATATAGCGGCATAAAGCAATGAAAGCAATGGTTTCTTTCCAAAGTGCTTGGCTACAACTCTCCTTTTCGGTTGTAAAAGGTGAACCATTTCAAATAATTCAATAATATTAAGCGATTTTAATGAATACATTGTTCATGATTGTTAATGCTTAGAAAACAAATGAATTTAGGGAGCGGTGGGGAAAGAGGTGGGTGCAGAAATAAATAGCGTGGATTGCTTTCTATAACTCCAAATTGAAAAAAAAAACAGTTTTTATTGATTTAGGATAAGAATTGTGGTCCTCAACAACAATAAGCAATTCATAAAGAGCTGTATGCTGTAGTTCATGTTGTATATGAGCTAGGAACATAATAGTGTGTTATTGTTTAAGATCACTTATTATGTAGCCCCTACCGTATTATGTGACTAGAAGGTTGTTCCCAGCATGGAATTCTTACAACCTCAGAATCAAAATTTGTTCCTCAATTATTCAAGACAATCAGCAGGTAATTAAGGGTTAACATGAAACATGAGTTTCATGTGCAAATATATATTTACTTTCCCTTATGTTTCTCCATGGCTTGCTAAGTTGGTAAGAAGATAAGAGAGAAGTTAAAGAAAAGTGATAGGAAACCCTATAGGGAAACTCTATTGTAGGAATGTCCTATAGTTTCCTGTAATAGGAAACCCTAATAACATAACCAGTGGGTGGTGATAAAAGTCTGGATATATCCTGTAAAAAAAAGTTGTGCCAGCATGGCACAGCTCACTTCCATACAGACTAAGTCTCTTCCCTCAAAAAACAGGGGCTACATATAGATCAGCTCGTAGGAATCGTCTCTGGCTGGTGCTAGCCCTAAATTATGCCTAGAGTTGTGTGGAAAAATGCAAGTTGCCCCAGGAAGAAAAAACAAACCAGGAAACCTGTTAGCAATGTGACATCATTATGAACTGGCTGAGAGTGCTCAAGCTTTTCCTTTCTTTCTAAAGACAGTTTGCGGCTCCATTTAGAACTCTAGAACTAGAGGGGAGGCAGGCTAATATATCTTGCAGATGCTTCTAGGACTGTTTCTTTGTGTTTTACTTTCTTTTTCTTTTTTTTTTTCTTTTTCCCTCACCAATTTTGTTCAGAGCACAGTCAGTCTGCCTCAGTTATTACCCTAATCCTTAGGTTATGGGGTCAGAGCTGTGCTTGCTGACTTTTCTCCTTGTCTCCAGACATTTTTTTCTGTCAGTCCAGCAAGCTACATCTCACAGTGGGACAGAATAGAACAGAAAAACTAAGCGTGAGCAGCCTTCTTCCCAGGCGAGCATGCCAACGAGTCATCCGGCATGATCTGGCATGATTAAAGACACATTTTGCACAACCTATTTTCAGAAGGGTTCTTTCTTCTTTTCCCAAAAAAAAAAAAAAAGTAGCTAATTATAAGAAGAATTCCAAAAAAATAAGACATTTCTTAATTTATTTCTAGTTGGATAATTATATTCTTCTCACAGTATTAACCAGTTAACCACTTCCATATTTAGGACCTTCTCTCTTCTTTTACATTATGCAACATGAGCATTCATCTTCCAAAGAGGTTCATCCTTGAAGCTAAATAGTATTTTAAATCCCTTCAACATGCCAAAGAACACCATCCATTTTAAGACCCAGATTGTATAGTGCAGTTTTAGTAATCCTACACATGTTACAAGCTTGTTTTTGTCAAATAACATTGTGCTCATTTCGTATTCTTTCTCTGGGAATGCACAATTCAGTAACATAGGTCTTTCAAAATAAAACAAAAATCTTGTTAGCAATAATATCTTCTTGAAGTTGATTTTAATCTTTCCTGTATTTCTTGTGTACTACAAAATAAAATATGGAGCTCTTTTTTTGTTAATCTTCCATAAAATTTTCTTGGGCATTATAATAACATCAGTAAATTATTTCTTATTTCAGAGGAATGAAATATAAATAGCATGTATTGTAGGTAAGATTTTGTGGCTTTGTTTCAAAACATGCAAAAAATAAGAACATTAATTCCAGGGTTTTTTTGGGGTGTTTGTTTGTTTGCTTTTTCTTGGAAAATATTTATATAAAAGATATGAGCATTTTATGGATAATTTTGGCTAATTTTAAAATAATTTGTATAAGTTATCAGTCTTTTTTTTACAGTGCATTCTAAAAACTTTCTCTTTCTCTTTTGCACTCTGTAAAGTTCATAAAAAGTTAAGGTTTGCAAGAGGTTGTTCCTTTGCCAAAGGTTGTTCCTTTGGCAACACTATTTATAAAAACTGCATTATTATATGCTAGTTGTGTAAGTGAGGGAATAGTACTCTTGAGCTGTTTCACCATTAGCTCCTGATTTGAGTATGAAAAAGGTGTGTTCTTTTTTTAAAAGGTTTATAAAAGGAAAAAACTAGCAGGAGCTGCAATTTTGTTTTTTGAAGGTTAAAAAAGGCAAAATTATTTTGTTCTTCACTCAAATCACTTGTAGCCGAAGAATAATTCTGTACCATCTGTTGTTTGGGTTTGTGTGTTTTTTACATGAAATTGTTAATCAGCACTTGAAGAAATTCCCCGATCTCTTCACTATCCCATTAAACACAAGTCCAATCTTTTTGTGATAAAATACTCATTTATCTGTTAGGGATAAAAGAATTTAATGGTGATATCGTCTAAAGAATATCTAATTTCAGGTAGTAAGATAAAATACATAGTTTTAAACTACTCTACTTTTGTGTATCAAGTCTTCTGTAGTTCAAGCAATTCCAGCAGTGTCATTTTCCTTTCATTTCTGTAGCCTGCTTAAGATTATAGTGGAACAAGCAAGAAGATTCTTTTGCCTATTTTAATGGCCTTGTATTCTGGATAGATTTTTTCTACAGCTTTAGAGAGAATTTTCTATTCAAACTTAGACTCTTTCCATCTTTCTATATATCTGTCTACTTGACTGAGTCCTTGTAACACAGATGAATCAGGAATATTTGAATATCCTTGCTCTGTTCGTTTAATTTCTTGATGGCATTGTCATTCCAATTTTGCTGAATTAACCTTATCTGTCAAGATGTTTGAACCTGAAAGTATCTCTGTTCTGATATATACTGGAAATTGCTTAAATGTATCTGTTCTGTTTTGAAATAGTTCAAAGAGTTGATGAATGAGACTGAGTCTCAAGGCATGATTTGTAGAGGACACTGGGTTATTTGTGCAAGTTAGTTCCCATAACAGTTAATCTTAAGTGGGGAAAGGAAAATAATAAAATAATAGATATCAGCAGGAGTTGAACCAACCAAGATTTTTGTGTATATTTGAACCTCAGTAAGACATAAATTCATATAACATTGTGAACAGCAAACTGCTAATACAGTTCAGTTAAATTTCTACCTATAGGCACTGAATATCTTCTACTTGTCACAGAGCCTCCTAGAAGCTCTATGACAGGAGTGCTTCAGAAATTACCAGCCCAATGGCAGACAACATCCTGAACAGCCATTTGCGACTTTAACTGTCTCCTACCATCCTACATCTCTGAAACATAGCTATTAGAGAATGTCCATTTTCTTCTCTGTGATTTAAGCTTGTAGCTTGAGTCCTGTGTTAGTGTTACAGAATGAGAGCTGGGAGCCTTATATAACGGTATTTAAACTTAGAGCTGCAAAGACATGCTAAAAAATGAATTTAAACTTACATATATCACATGTATACATTCAAGAAAGAAAAAAATGCTCAACTATCTAACATCCATAATATAAACATAAATGAGTTAATAAAACTTAAAGATTAAAATTCCAGCCAACAATTTGAAATAATTTAAAAGTAAATTCTAGTAAGTATTTGGGAATACCTATTGTATAGGTACAGTTGTTTTGTCTCAAACAACTCATGTTTAAATGTTCATTCAGATCTAGTATCCTTGCTGTTAAACTGATGAGCTGTTGCTGCATGGCTTCCTGTATAGATATGGAGTAATTAATTCAATGTTTTAGAACTGTCTTGTATATAAAATATGTATTTGAAGAAGTGCAGTGTCTAAATTATGAATTACAGTTTTAGGTTGGTGATCTAAATGCTGTGATATAAGGTGTAAATTAAATAATTGGGTTAACACTGAGTGATGGGACCTTTGTCTGCAAGTTTGAAACAGTCATCACTTTTTTCATTAACGACGAGTGATAATTAACAGATGATAAGATTATTAACATTAGATTTAGTCATGAGGGCTTTCACTGATGATGCAGAAGCAGATGGAGTACCTATTTAAGAGACTTATTATAGGTTAAATCAACTGCTATGAATTTGTCCCCTAAATGTGTTAAGGGTGTAATTTATTTTCAGCCACAATTAACTTGTTAAAGATTAAAGAAGCAGTGGCTCAATGAGGGGTAGCAAATGCACAGCGTATTACAAGGACATTTTAAGCAAGACTTAAGATGTGAGAAGCCATTACATAAATTATTTTTAGCTTAACTTATTTTTTCATGCATAGAGACAACTCTATAATGTTATTGCATGAACTTTATGTATGACCATTATAAGCATTATGTTCTTCAATGGAGGATTTTTTTGTGTGTGTTAATGTTGGTTGGTATGTTTAGTTTATTGCTGTTATTTTAATAAATATACTAGATTTGAATTCATAGTGCACAGTGCACTGGGGATCAAACTTTCCAAAATTGATTAGTGATTTGAAGTATATGATATTTGTCTGTCTTTCATAACTGTTTTTAACATCCTTCTGAGGCTACCTCTTGAGTATTATACAGCATTGAGAGACAGTCTCTCCAACCACAGTAGCTATGCAAAGTGCTCATTCTGTGGGTGCTAGTCTTAGGACCACTAAATTTAGAAGGATATTCCCTCACACATCCTAAATGTGATATTTTTCTGCATTCAAAATATCAGTTTCTAAATAAAGCAAAGTACATAACGGATAGTCCTATTCCAAATGTTTCATGGAAAATCAAAAGCTCCTCCATGACTATCACAAATATACTTTTAGGGGATTCTAGCTGGACTACAAACATGATTTTCATGTGAACTACTGTAACTATTCAGCTTGCCTAGATTTTATTGCTTATGTAACTGTCCACTTTTTCTTGCATTCTAAGAGAATCTGCACTGTACACAAAGGCAGAAATTTCCCACTATATTCCAGGAGTATCTCTGTGTTTCCCTGAGTCTTAGTTCATATAAGCTTACCAAAATCTTTGTAATTTACATTAAATGGTCCCAGAAGTAATGGCAATTTCCACATAAACCTTTATTCTCCACCTGTTTCTCAAAGTAGCCTCCATATTTCTCTTTGTTTATAGCAACCATATGGGGGATTTTATCTGTACAGTGCTACTCATTCACAGGAACACTATGGAAGAAGAATTTGCAGTAGCACTGATTACATAAAATACCAATAATCATACAATAGCTTAAGGCAACAGCTTTCAACAAACTGAATCTTGTAAATATCCAATGAGATTAATATTTTCCTGATTCACCTGATTTTCCTGATTTTAACCAGTTGTGAATATTTCAAATAGATTAAGTGATCGAAAGTAAAGATTGCTATTAGCATGTCTAATCATCTGAAGATTTTTTAATTAAGGAGGCCTAGCAACGCTTACAGCAGCAGTTGGTTATTTAGTCCGTTGAATAGCTTGGACTCTTAACATCTTAACAGATGCTATTCTTATTATCTTCACATCTGGATTACAGCATGGGTACAAATAGCATTGTGGGTTAAGGTTGATCCCATTTGTATTCTTACTTAGACATTTCTGCAACAGAGCTAGCACGTCCTGAAGTCATAAATTCCCCTGTTTCTGTCTATCAGCTTCTGGAAGTCTTCCTTGGTTAAAGAGTCCCTCAGTGTTGTGACTATGTTATGAAAAAGTCATTTATTCACAATCATGGTAGTTCCACAGCCTCCCTTTTTCTGTTGCAGGGCATGTTGCCATCTACATTTAAGTGTCTACAGTAGAATATATTGATGCATTACCATAACTTATCTCATATGTTGGCACCACCTTCAGGCTAGCATAGTCACGTGGAAAGATATAGCAAATTTGCGTGAAAATTTGGATAAGCAAAGAAGGCAGTGGAATTTTGTTATGCTGGAGACTGTTATGCAGCATCTGCGGTAGCTCCTGGTGTAGAGAACCTTTCTCAGCTTCTGTCTGATGTGTGCTCTATCTTCTGCCTCTGATATAGGTAAAGATACATAAACTATATATCGTGCTGAGCTAATGTGATATCTTCAGATTGCATACATCATTCGTTGTGGTATTGTGGGACTAATTATACTATAGCAGCTGCGTTTGACGGTCCATGAGATTTGGTTCTGAAAACCATCATTTTCTATCTCAACAACAGAACAACAGAATTCCAAGAGATCTCAGATGATGTTTTATGTTTGCAATATTTATTTGCGTTTCTTACCCTTTAGGAAATGTTTCCAGACGGCCCATTTTTACTTAGAAGACAATACATCACCTCGAGTAATTTCTGTTCCTCCAGCTCCAATCTTCCCAGTCTCAGGTATTTCTTGTCGACTCTTCTGTGGATTCGTGGCAGTTTTTGAAAGATGCTCTTTGCATGTGCCAATATGAGGTCTTCACATGCTGTAACCTCTGTAAACCAGATATTTTTGGCCTCTTACACTAATAAAGACAGGTATACCGGATGGAGGCAGGGACTAGCACTATTAATATTCTTTCCTTTAGGAACTCAGGAGAGGTATATCTTTCCTGACAAAGTCATTTCAGAGATATGATGCAGCTTTTAGCCAGTATCACCTGCATTTGAGCTACACTGAACAGTTTTAATTCACTGTCTCAAAGTGGAATTATTGTAGCAGTAACATGTTCTGCTGTTTTTCTTTGTCATTGAATATATAACCTATGTATAGAATGTTTCCTTTTGCTTTTACCAGCATCACCAACACGTTGCGTCTATCTGCATTTCACTGGCTATTGTAAAGTTTGTTTTTTTGACTTGTTGATGTATTTTGTTAGTCTATATTGCTAGTAGTAAAATTCTCTGTGAGTCTCATGTAAAATATGATATACAAATGCAAAATATTAGCCCCTCCTGTTTCCATTTCCACTGTAGTTATTTGGAGAAACTTTGTTTTCCTCTTCAAAGCATATCAAAGTAACACTGTGCAGCATTCCCCAGCTCTTTCAAATCAAGTGAAATGAAAAACACATTAAATAATAGGTTAATTCTGCAAGTGACCCTGAACCACATTTTCACACATGAGAAAAGAATATCTTGTTGCATAAGTAATGCTGTTTCAAATGGTGCAATTACATGGGGAAATGAGTGCTCTCACAATGACTAAAGAAGGAAACTCAGCATGTGTAGATATCTAGTAAAGACATTTATTTAAATAAATTCCAAACTTCAAGTTTCTGTTGTAACAAAATTGTAGACATCTTTAAATGTGGCTTGCATTGATTGCTGTTGTTAAGAGATGCATAACCTTTTTCTAAATGGTTAATAGGCAGGCACATACCTTGATGCTCCAGGAATATATGATTATATGTGAATGTCAAGTGTAATTCATTATACGAAATTTCTGTTCTTAGTCTCTACCAGTATTGCAATACAATTGTATCACAGTGCAATTGTATAATTTCCTTGCAATTTATTCTGACCAACTCACCTCAGGTAGGCAGTGTTTTCCATTCATTGAGAAAGAATTACACTTACCGCTATTCTGAGTGCTTAAAATATGTGTTCTTTGGCTGGTGGTTTTACTTCTAAAAAGCTGATAAATATTAACTTAAAAGTGTTTTTAAATGACTGAAATGCACATAAAGTATTTTATGGAAAAACTCCAAGTGCCAAGGAATGCTTTGTTTAATTTTGTATGCAGCAGATGTCAAGTGAGCAGTTTTCATGTTTTCTACAATATAACATTTCAGCAGTGTAGCTTTACAATAATTTTGGCTAACCGTGATATAATATTGGCAAATGGCTTAGGCCAGGAAGATCATGCTGTAGCTGTTAAGTTTGATATTTTGTTGCCACTATGACTACAAACACATTCCACAGATCTCATTATATATTCGTTTTTCCTTCCATGGAGTTCTATTGGCACAGGTAGAAGATGCATGGTTCTGCAGAGATAATGTATTTCATACTGTAATTCGAAGAGGCATTTACTAGAAATAATGAATTACTGGTTAATGTTAGGAGCTCATATCAACCTTTAATAAGCATCAAATGATACCTTCCATCCAGAAGTAGAATGTATTTCTGGAGCCAAAAGTGACTACATGGGAAATTAGCACTGGTCAGAAAATACAATAATAATAACATCAAACCTTATGGTCCATGCTCATCAGGTCATCTATTTTCCCTCTTGGTTTGGTATTCCATAGAATAAACACTTTATTCCAGGTCCCTGCTCCAAAGTGTGAACATAGTTTTACACTTTTGTTCACCCTCCCTTAGGCTTGACTGAATAAATTTACTATTAGTATTCAGGTCTATTCCTGTAAGTGGAAGACCAGATGGATCTCAATACAATTCAACAAATTCTTGGTAACTGAAAGCTAAAAATATTTTATGGCCTAAATACTGAACATCTGTTGATACAAATAACGGGTCTCTGTAAAATGTTTTTAATATTTCCTTCTCATATGAAACAGTGATGGAATTTCAAATTGTGAAATAAAAATGTTTTAAATCCATGAAACACTTAAAAAAATCTTTATTCTTCAGAGCCAAAACTAGTTAAAATAATATGGTCTATAACAGGTAATTAACAGAACAGATGACTGTGTTTACATAACATATTTACAGGAAAGAAAAGATTAAAAGTCCCAAAGGTTTTTGACATGATCCCTAATGAATATTCTACACAAAAGTGTTTTTTCATGTTTAAATAAAGTAAAAAGGATATTTCATGAAATGTAAACATCAGACTGAAAGTTCAGACTCAATATCAGAACACACAGGGTGTATTTACAGGATGAAAATGTAGACATTTTCTTTGTGAGTATCTAGAAAACATTTTTATATGCATGTCAATTCCAATTTACATATATTAAATGATAAAAAGAAAATCTTAAAAGTTGATGTATGATGCCTGAAGTAAGAGTTTGTAGTTGATACTCTCAGGATCTAAAATAAAAATTATTATCAATATCATAGAATATCATATAGAATATCATAGAATAATGTGGAAAACGGGTGAGGAGGGGTCATTCATTACTGGAAAAACTTGCTCTTTGTGTGAAAGAGGAAGTTTAGCTGTTGTTTCCTTAGGATTTAAATGCAAATGTGCAACACATCAGTAAAAATTGTACTGCTGTCAAAATCCTGACTCCTTTTCCTCATCGTTCTTCCTCTCCCAGTACTATCCACAGCTCTACTCCTGCTGTCTCCCTTTCCATGTATTGCAGAAAATTGCTAAGACTCCTTGACTTTGCAGGGAGGTTTGAGTGCTCTTCAATTTACAAACTAACTCGTCATCTTGCAGAACCAGCATGTTGATTTGGGAGGCTTAAAGATAAAGACAGACCTTTCTAGGCATTTTACATGTCTTTTTTTTTTTCAGAATAGCCCTTCAGAAATGTATAGATACTAGAGAATGTTTTAGAAATGCTGTCTATGTTAGGAAGTGATTTCAATTTTAAGGAGAGACATATATCCAAGTTCTTGGCATAAGTTCATAGTAGAAGTTTTATTTCAGGATGTTGTGTGGATTGCCTAAGCATGAACTTTATATGTCACTCTGGCTTTTTATTCTTCACAAATATGTTTTTTGTCTTTTCCCACTCTTAAGATGATGTTGGAGCAATTCCAATAAAGCATTTTCCAAAACATGTTGCAGATTTACATGCAAGTAATGGTTTTTCTGAAGAATTTGAGGTATGGCTCTATGATGTCATCTTTTATTTTTAGCACATGCAGATAACGTTAGATTTAAATGCAAATGGAAGCAAAGAACTGGGCATTAGATTGTGACTTGGTGACCAATTTTATAAATGTGTAACCTTGAACCCAATAGGACTGCTCATGTTTGAAAGCTAGGGTGATTTATTAAAGCTAACAGAATTGAGATGCAGGTGGGGATGGTTTTCACTGTGATAAAATGCTAAATGGTTGTGTGAATAACCTGTATAATAGCTCATCAGGTGTAGACTTAAAGCTTTCCAACACTAATGCCAATTGAATTTTGCAAAGTCACCTATATTTACTTGTTCCATTTACAGAGAAAAAATATGGAAGTAATAATGAGCACACGTGACAAGACTATTAGGGGACCTAATGCAGAGTCTTCATATAGGGTAGTGAAAGCTTTACAGTGCCTTTCATAAAGTATGTGGTTCATATGAGATATTTCAAAACTTTGAAACATATACTCATCATATAATATGCCAATATCACTGTAAGTAGCTAGTGAACATCATTGTTATTGACATTCAGATAGATAGATAGCCAAGATAGATGTTTGTTCTACCTTGTCGTTTATAAAATAAACACTATAAATCTCAACTCTGTAATCAGAGCTGTATTATTAAAATTCTTGGCATGTATTTTCTATTAAAATCTCTTAATTGAGACAGAAACGGTTATTAGAGATATATATTGATTTAAAACGTTCTTGTAGTCCTACTGCTAAGACAATATTGAAAGTAATTCATACTTTCACATCTTTTGGTTTTGCTTTTTGTTTCCCCATTCAATAAATTGTAATCCGATAGACCAAAAACTCTGTGGCATTTATCTAACTACATTGTTAATATTTCTTCTCCAACTAATATAACGTTCAAAATATCCTTCGGATTGTGGGATCAAACTTGTAAATGCTTGTAAATGCCATTACAGGCTCATATGTGAAGCTAATTGTGTGCCTTGGCATTGACAGGACTAAACTCCAGATAGCCTGGCTATTAAAAAGAGCAAATGTTGTAGGATTTTGTGTAAATATGGTGATATCGATGTCCCTTCACAAGAAATGAGGAAACTAATCAAAAATTAAAACTGTTCATCAGCTTCTTTTCTTAAATTGCATGAATGATCCAAAGACCCAATGTCTTGCATTTCAGTGAGAAGTTATAGAATAATTTACTCAGTAACTTTGCAGAATCAGCATACACTTGCAGAGAGGGGCATAGGCATGTTCCAATCTTTGTTTATATTATATGAAGAAACTTATAATTGACATCTAATTTAGCAGGCTGTAGCAAAGCTTGTAACTACTTTTCTCATATGTGTTTAAATAGCTAATGGGGAAGATAGTTCATCTTAAAATACATCCTAGAAGACATTGCAAAATATTATTATAGTATTTTATTCATGGCAATATATTTCTTATATAACACTGTGAGCCTTACAAATGTTTGAAATTCCCATGAATTAAAGTAATTATTAAAATATAAAGAAATGAATTCTATGAATTTTATAGACTTTGTGCCAGCCTTCTCAAGCCTGTCTCCTGCAGGCAGTTTTTATAAATACATTGGGAAACTGCTGGCAGTTAACAGTCCCATGAGGCTGAGTTGCAAATTATCCTTGTCCGAGTGAGGGCTTTGCAACTGCATTCAAAGAGAGCAAGAACAATCAACTGAGAAAGTAATTCAGTTATAAGGACCAATAATAAGTCTTCATAAATCCTATGAATAATTAATTATTTAGATAATCTGTCTAGAGTCAATTATGTTGCTTACATGTATGCACTTTTCCCAGTCCCCGTGTATAACATTCAAGTTAAAGATGGGAAAACAGATACCGGTATTTTAACAAAAAAGTTATTTCGAAGTTCAGAATAGCTGATTTATTTTAAGAGTTGTGTCAAAATAGTCAGCTTTGTTGTTATTATGGAGATATATTGCATGACCATAACTGTTTTCCATATAGTAATTGTAATTTATATAAACACTTTTATCCATTGTTCTGTGCTGTGGAATTTGATTTTTTTTACTTTTTTTGCATTCATTCCCTCATTAGACACTGAAAGAGTTTTATCAGGTAAGGAATTATTTCACTGCATTTCTTTAGCAATGAAGTAGTTGTAAAATATCATAGATAATTGGGTGTAAGGTTGTGGTTTTTCATGCTAGCTTATTGTATTTTAATACACTGTGTATATCTTAATAATTACTATACTATCATGTGCATTCTTTTTTCAGGAAATCCAGAGCTGTACTGTAGATCTAGGTATTACATCAGACAGCTCTAATCACCCAGACAACAAGAATAAGAATCGATATATAAATATTGTTGCCTGTAAGTAAATGCTGCACTTGGTGTTTTATGCAAGAAATGTTGTAGACAAGTAGAATCTTTTATGGGGACAGGAGAAAAACTCTGGACTGAAAACTCTGACTAATAGTCAGCAAAATGCCCAAAAAGGAATAGAACAAGACGTTACATCTCTTCAAGCAGTCCTCTGACACTCTGGTGCTTCGATAAGCATTTGTTATCAAGGAAGATATATGTGTCTTTTGTGGTGACCCAAAAGGAGCTTGGAGATTGCCTTATAATGACATTATGAAGCCAGTATTTGGAAAGGAATCTGAAAAGCCAGCCCCAGTATGCCTTAAATCTACATGAAGATCATGTGTTTTAGCTACATAAAGATCATGTGTTTTGGACAGTTAATACAATAGCTACCTCTGCATTTCAAATTTAACTCTCATGTCAGCCCAACTACCCAACCAGTTTAGGAGTAATGTCTTTAGGCGTAGGGGTTTACATGGGGTTTGATATCTGGCTTCTCATTATAGTCAAGGAAGCTCTTGGGCACATTCAGTTGACCAGGACATCCAAGATGTAGTAGGGCATCCTGCCAGCTTTCCACTGTCATTCCAGAATGATGTGGATTTCCCACAGGTTTCAAGCCCCTTACTGAGGTGTCAGCTACCTTAGGGCATCTCAAGTAGGAAGAAGTGCGATGTGAAGCAGAATCAGGTCTCTGTAAATGATGGAGGCTAAAAAACCTTTAGCTCGCCCTAAAGTAGTCACCTAGCTGACTGACTAGGCAATCAGCTGAAGGCTCTTCAGCCAACCAGCTCCATAGGTTCCCATAGGTCTCCAAGCTGCAAATTCCACTCTTTGCCTTGAAATGAATGCTTCTCAAGAAAGGAGTCAGTTACCTAAGCGTGGGTGCCTGCCATCATTTGAGGTATGCCACAGCATCCAGGACTAATGGGCCGACTTGGCAGTCCAGACTCTACCCTTCACAAGCAGGAGAACAATGCCTGGGATACTTCCATGTAGGCAAATAAATTGTGCACCTCAGTATCACTGTATTTACTATATAATACTGAATATGTGCAAGTAACGTTAGTCTTTATTTACCATGACATTGTACTCTACAGTTATGACAAATTCATGCAACACTTTCTTTTCATTCATTTTTACTTCAGCTAGACTACTTTTCTCAAGGAACTCAGGTTTCCATCAATTGCACATTTTGAACTTCCACTGGCTTCAAAGAGCTGTACACTTTTGTCATATGAAAAGATCTTTTATTTATTTATTTATTTATTTTACTTTTTAAAAATATTACCATTTACTTCTAAAATAAATTTCTGAAGTTCTGAATCTTTTGGTTGATTAGGTTATATTTCTGCAAATTAGAACTTTCCATTTGCTTCATACCTAAACACAGGATGTTTACATGTGCTAGCTTAGAAATAGTATAAAAATCCATTAAATTTTCTTTGAACATGTTACAGGAAGAATATAACCCTATGCTTCCTTTGTCCCTTTTTTTATTTTTTTTTAATGCAGATGATCATACTAGGGTTAAATTAGCACAACTTTCAGAAAAGGATGGAAAACTCACCGATTACATTAATGCCAACTATGTTGATGTAAGTGCATTTTTCTATCTGCCAATCCATTCACATGTCAGAAGAGTCTTTTCTCTAAATACTGAGGCATGGAAGTAAATAGACTTTAAAAAAAGCATCACAGTATTAGGGGCTTTGTTAAAAGAAAAAAAAAACACCTTTTGATCTGACTTAAACCTCACAAAGTGAAGAGCAGATAAATCTCCAATTCTTTCTTGAATCCATCTTGATATTGTAGCAGCTGCAGCTTAGTGAAGAGCTTTGTGAAGCATAAAATGTTCTATCAGGTCTCAATAGTTTCAGACGCATTTCACGTGAATATTTATGCCTTTACACATATTTGGTAAGCGGTTAATTCTTCCCTTTGAGATAATCTTAGGAGGGGAAGATGGTATTTGGCTGACAGTTTCATAGAGACACCATTTATTCAGTTTTTGTTACCCAGTAATTTACATGCGAATGATCATGATTTATTTCTTAAACCCCTATCATGACAGATGTCTCATAATCACTACCATGTCAACATCCTGCCAGAACACAGGCAGTAGACTCTATATCCTATTTATTGGAATGATAAACATTGTCATAACAGTTCCATTCATATGTCAGTTGGTACCAAAGACATTCTGTGAATTAGACAGTTGTAAATTCAAAAGTACTTAAAAGCTCTTGAGATTCTTTAAAAAAAGATATATAAAATACCATGTAGTCCTCCCAACCTCCTTTTGCTCACAGACTGTGATTTAACAAGTGTCATTTGTTATCTTTCAATTTAGGGCTACAACAAGCCAAAAGCCTACATTGCAGCTCAAGGGCCACTAAAATCAACAGCAGAAGATTTCTGGAGAATGATATGGGAACATAACGTAGAAGTTATTGTGATGATAACTAATCTTGTTGAGAAAGGAAGGGTACGAGTATCTTTGTTATTTATCTCTGTTATTGATAGATCTGCCTCTAGGAGGCTACTTCCTCTCTTTTAAAAGACTTTTTTAGGCATTTATTGAGAAAAAAGCTATACTTTGTAGTAGTTGCTTGTGCTAGAATTGGTCATAGAAACATAAAGATGAGGATTTGGAGTATGAAACTAAGGAAAACATTCAAACTCAATTTATAACTGAGGTCTTGAATGGCTTATACTAGAAAATGCCTTCTTGGATATAGTTAGGAGTGGCCAGATTATGGACAATGGTTCAGTTCTGCTAAGCAATCTATTTTCTGTAAATCTCTTTTCCAAGGGTGCCCTAGACTTTGTAAAGGAGATGACTTTAATTTAAATTAAGCATTACGGATGTTCACAGGCTACTCCCTTTTAACATCCCATGACACCCACAGTTCCTACCATCACCTGACTAGATATACATTAGTTCTGTGAACCAAAATGAGGTCATCTTTTATCACAGGATGTGTCTTCGTCTGATTACCTGATGGGGGATATGCATCTGTGACCCAATGGGGTCACATGAGTAGTCACTGTCTCACGCTTGCCGCATACAGACCCATGACCTCAAATGCGTACGTTCTTGTCATATGACCAATTAAGTGCTTGTCGGATGTCCAGAAAAACAGTACTCTAAGTACTATAGTCCTCTAAGTACTCTAGTCCTCTAAGTACTATAAAATAGTGCTCTAAGTACTATTTTAAGATTATAAATTACTATAAATGTGTACTGTAGTACTTCTAGAGAAGGCTTAAGTGGCAGCCCACCCAAAAGGCACCCATTGCAGCTCTATATGGCCCTATTTTGAACCACACAAGTTTTCTCTTTTCTCCTCTGACCAGATGCCAGTATATTTTACCCATTCTGTGACCCAAGCAAAATACCCCAATGACTCTAACGACTTGAAGCAGTGGCAGAGCACATTTTCTCTTGTGTGCAGACCATCTGTCTTTAGATTTTCTTTATATTTTAGAGTGTATACAGAATAGCAGTTTTCACAATATTAGAGGTCTTCAGCTCCAATTGTATGATTTAAATCTCTCTTTTTTCTGGTATTACAAATAAAGAATATCTTCACACAGACAGATGTCTTTACAGCACAAAATAAATAAATACTCTTTGTTCTCTTGAGATGAAGACCACATATATTACAAACTGGGAGTTCTTGTACATTTCTGTGGTTGACTGTACTCTTAAGTTTAAACCTTAACAGTTTGACAATTATTTTCCTTCTTTCTCTGTTTCTCATTCTCTTTCCAACAGAGAAAATGTGACCAGTACTGGCCTGTTGAAGGTAGTGAAGAATATGGGAACTTCTTGGTTACTCAGAAGAGTGTTCATGTACTTGCCTATTACACAGTGAGGCATTTTACTATTAGAAACACCAAAGTCAAAAAGGTTTGTGGCATCCTGAAAAAATAGTTTGGTATAAAAGAAACATTGAAAGTTGCTCAGAATATTTTAAAGCAGTTGGTAGCTCTTTTCCACTGTATAAGTAAAGCTGAATCCTATAGGTCTCAGACAGCCTAGATGCTCCTCAGCTTCAGAGTTAATTTGGCTTGATCAACTGGTGGAGGAGATACTGGCCGGTGGTTGTGTGTTGCAGGCAAATGGTTACGATCATGCTAAAGAACTGATGTTGACTTTGCCTACCTGAAGAGCCAGAAGATTTTCAGAATGCCAGCAGACAGTAGAAAATACGGGATGATTTAAGTCATCTACCTATGAATTTTCCTTTTGTAGGACTGAATTTTTAACCCCCTTGTAAAACAGATGGATAATTCCTTTTTTGATCAGTAAAGCTGGATGAGATTATTTCTACTCTTTCTGTCCACTTGATAGAGGAACAGAGTATCAGAAACAATTGATAGATCTTATGGGCAGTTGAGTAGTTGGATATCCTTACAGTGCTCTTAGTCTTTTACTATGGCTTTCTAAAGGGGCAGTGCCAAGACACTTTTTAATCTAGTGCTTATAGAGGTAGCTGCCCTTCCTGTTGTCTTTGGAAACTGGAATATTCAGCACTAGAAAGTACTCTGACATGTTTGACTTGCTTTAATGAAATAGAGACTATACTAACTTAAGAACATTAATATTGAGAACATTATTTGTTACATAAATAAAATAATGAAAAATAATGCCTTTTAAATGTGGGATACTTATTCATGGCATTATTTTTATGTTGCAGGGTTCCCAGAAAGGAAGGTCTAGTGGACGTGTAGTAACTCAGTACCATTATACCCAATGGCCTGATATGGGTGTTCCAGAATACACACTGCCTGTGCTCACCTTCGTGCGGAAGGCATCGCATGCCAAGCGTCATGCTGTTGGGCCTGTTGTGGTTCATTGCAGGTGTGGTTTTTTACTCTAGTAAAGTTCACTCCACTTTTGCTTTGCAGAAAAAAAAAAGAAAATTTTAAATAATTTTCAGTGGTGGGTTAAGCAAAACTCCATTCATACTTAACAATTACTGATGTAGGAATATTGAGTTCTTAGCTGATATTTCTATCTTTGGTAAAGCCAACTAATCAATCAGCTCTGTGCCACTTCTATAAATCTCTGTAATGGCTATAAACAAGGTGCTCTGCCAAAAAAAAAAAAAAAACAAGCTTGTCTTTTTACTTTCTTGCAAACTTCTATGCTATTCTTTTGATTGCTGGGAGCTTACTGGATAAGTATATAGCAATAATTGTTTCATTTGTACAAATTTACATATCATTAGGATGTTTTAAGCTCATGCTTTCTTTGGTGCAGGGATACTCTATAGCCCTTAGAAGAGCTCTGTGCACAAAAGAAGACTCACTGTATTCCTGGCTGAACTACAACTTTGCCGTTTTTAACCTTACTCTGCACTCTAGCATTTCTTTGCACTTGGAGGAGCTTTCTGGGGATCGGTTTGAGGTCTGCATGTGCCACAGTGTGCAGGCAGGTGTCCTGCCATTGCTCATTAAAACTGAGCAGCCTAGGGAAAAATGGTTAAAAATGGCTTGTAAGGCCTGGAATGACTTCACAATGCCCGTGAAGGACCGGGTTATTGTAAAATATATAAGCAGGTTCTGGTTTTCCACTGTAGTACCTCACCTTTGATGGAACATTTGGAAAGAGAACCTCCTCATGAATTCTGTCCTTCTGGAGCTGACTCTCAGGAAGCCAACAGGTAAAGTCACCTCACAATGCTGAAAATTAAGATATTTTATTTCTGGGATGCTCTAATGTGACTGAAATCTGTTTTTAGCTTGGAAAATGAAATTTCCACGTTTTGGTTGTTCTGCTGTATTTATACCCTGCCTGTTATTGGGAAGTTCAAAATAAGAGCTTCCCCATACGACTGTGATCTATGACAGTGGCCTGAGAGATCAGCAACATGACCAAACATGTACATTGTTTTTTTTTTTTTATTAAAAAAAAAAGTAACAGTGGTAAGTTGTATGGCTTCAGTCAGACTTCTCCATTGGGTCATATACATATACATACATATATATATATGTATATATATACACATATATATATACATGTCTCAAATATTGGTATTTAATGGTTTTGTAAGGTTTTTAAGTTCATTTGTCATTGTCAACTGGAATTTCAGCAGAGTCTAATATTAGAAATATAACTTTTACTTTACAGGCTATGTGGAGGACAAATATGTGACACCTTATCTACTTATTTGTGTGATTTGATAGTTTTCATGTTTTGCCTTTGCCTTTTATAACAAGTACAGATGGTGCCTGCTAATCTTTGTAATTTTGTTTGTGTAATAGTGTGTCAATGACCCAGAATTTTCTGCTTTATATCATGTTTACTAGGCAGTGGAATACAGGCAGTATGAATTCAATCTACCCATGCTTCATGCCACCTCTGAACAAGAAAGGAGGTGGTGCTGGGTAGACCAATCTCAGTGTTGCTGCCAAACTGTATAAACCAACACACATAACATTTCCACATAAATTACAGGAGAATTATAACCAATTGATTCTCATTGTGGAGTATAGAGAAAAAAATACCTATATCCTAGATATTTTTACAAAGGAAAAGGCTGTTTGTTAGTCTAGATTCTTACCACACAGTAATCATTATGCTAAAAGAGTCAGAGTGTATAACAGAATCAAGTATTTTAACACGACATGGCTCCAAAAGGAGCCATTTTATTGTGGGTTTTTTGCTGTGTTTTTTGGATTTTTTTGTTTGGTTGGTTGGCTGTTTTTTGGGGGCAGGGATAATATTTCTGAGATGCAAGTTCTTTTCTCAACGCAGATATGCTTAGGATACAGAGCTTTCCGTTTGTGGGAGTTCCCCACAGCATGGCAAAATGGTGGCAATACACCAACTATTCATTAACTCTTTATTCTTTAACATCTTCTCTGTTTAAGAAGATTCTCAACTATTGTTTTCCCTCTTGAAAGAGTATGAAGAGTACTAAGCTTTTTCTTTTACAGATATCTTCTGCAGCTCTGCCACTTCCTACACAGTCCAGTATCTTTTCCCAGTCAAATATCTATGAAAGGTCCATAGGCAGTATCCTTAAGGGGTGGCATAATGCAGCTTGTCCTTTAAAGTGGCTTGTGTTCCAGCACAGAATAATTTGGGCACATTATATTAAATGTTTCTAACTGGGCACCACAGTTTCTAACTGGCTCAAGATCTTTGACAAAGTTACTTTAACTATCAGTATTAGCAGCAGCCTAAAAATTGCAGTCTAATAGGAAGCCTTTTAGTTCTATTTTATCCGATACTTTATTAATGATTAAAAATGATCTTTAGGTCTATTCTTGCATAAAGAAAAAAATTATAAGGAAAGAGTTTTCTTAATTATCAACATTGAAGTTTTAATAAAGTAATATATTCGTATAGTAATTCAATTTCTAAAGGAAAGTCTTCTCCACACAACAATTTGTTTAAAAAAGCTATATATAAGAAAAAAATATCTTCATGGTGTCTTACTTCAGACTCAAGAATTCTTTTTTGTTGTTTTATAGTGCTGGTGTTGGAAGGACAGGCACATACATAGTATTAGACAGCATGCTGCAGCAAATTCAACATGAGGGGACAGTCAATATATTTGGTTTCTTAAAACACATACGTACCCAAAGGAACTACTTGGTGCAAACTGAGGTAAGACTAAAATATTTTTAATGAGAATTATATTTCTGTTTGCAGTAGCAGAGATGATACAACCTTCATGTTGGTTCCATCAGGCAGAACAGCAACCAAACTGGGTTTCCCTGATTGCTTCCTGTTCCTATTGTACAATCCTTGTAGGCTCACTTAAAGCAATGGCCTAGTAAATGGCCTATCTGTGGGCTCTTGTCTCTTTTTTTAGGGAGGAATCAGAAGAGAGAAAGTCTGTATGAATCATACTTCACACAGTAGCAATTTCTTGGCAGTACTACTACAGCTGTTTTAAACAGAAGGTTATATGTAGAATGGTAAAAGAATCAGAAAGAAACAATAAGGACAACAACAGGGCATTAGAAAACCTATTTGAAATTTCAAGAACAGAGGTTAGATTCCCTGGTGCCTTTCAGTAGAAGAAGAGGCAGTCAACAACAGCATGAGTGCTTATTGAAAAAAGGAGGTGAGAGAAAACGGAAGATAGCAGTAGGAACTGAGAGTGGTCACTTTATTGCAAGGAAGAGAGGCAAGGAGCGCTGAACAAGATGCTGACTTGGAAATTTGATCTGAGGGTATCATATCAAGTATACATTGCATGTGTAGTTCATTGCACTTGTAAACACGTACTATCACTACAGATGAATAGCCTCTACTGTAGAGGACCACATTTGAGAAAACTCTACGTAGCAGCAAACTGCAAAGAAATGCTGACCCAGTTGGAAGTGGCAACTTAGCTGAAGAAGATGTCCAGGAAAGATATGAAAATAATTAGAGCTCAGATGTTTGGTTTTATTTTACTAGGAGCAATACATCTTCATTCATGATGCACTGGTTGAAGCGATACTGAGTAAAGAAACAGAAGTCCTTGAGACTCACATTCATGCCTATGTTAATTCTCTCTTGATACCTGGACCAACAGGAAAGACCAGGCTGGAGAAACAATTCAAGGTGAGCTCTTGAGATGCTAACATGAAAAGCTTTTGGCTTGTTAGCATCCTCAAATGAGTAAAAGTGTCTCAATGCAACTGCCATCATCTTTCTCTTTGTATTCAAAGTAATTTCACAAATGAACGCAACTAGTTGGGGCAAGAGAATTATTTACATACTCTTAAACAAGATTTTTCCTGATCAGCTGTAGAAGCAGACGCCTCCTCAGAAGGAGGAAATAAACACTCCAGAGTTTGTATATATGGAGAACAATGTGTACCATGCCGATGACTTTCAGACACCCAGAGAAAGACCAGAGTTCAGAAGCTGAACATCTAGCAGCCCAGAACTTAGGAGAGAAACAGTACATTGACTCAAGAGGAGAATGGGAAATCTAGCTAGTTCACTGGAGTGGTGACTTAAGAAATAAAATTAGAAAATTCTAGTTTTTCTTATGATTTTTAATTCAGGAAAGTAAATCACAGTTTGAGGGGGGTTGTTGTTTTTTGTTGTTTTTTGGGGATTTGAGGGTTTTTTTCTGTATTTTGTAGGATAATATAATAGCTTTTGATTTTCCTAATCTACCAGGAAATAACTTGTTACAAGCTTTTTCTCTAACTATTTTAATTCTGCTGAGGAATGTGTGGGATAGCATATATTCTTTCCACAATTAACTGTTGCATCACAAATGTAGAACTCAAGAAGCTAAGTCAGTCAACAATGTCAGAAGATAATGAGGCCATGTTAAATATTAATTATTTTTCTCCTGAAGCGTTGGGTCACATAGACACAGTAACTAGTATTTCTTCAAGGTAATGAACTACAGAAGGTCAAAGAATTTCACAGTTTGCTACTGTCTTGGCTTGAAGAATCACACAGTGTTGTGAGAACACTATGTAAGAACTGTTTTGGATGAAAACAGAAAGAAAATGCTGTTTAATTCATTTTGATGGAAGTTATCTGGTTTGCTATCTCTTATTCCTAAGCAGTTGCTTTGAGGAGACTATTTATGGTCCGCCTAAAATATTACAGAAAGTTATTTTGAATTCTTTCAAACATTCTGATTAATCCAGTTGATTTTACTAGCAATCAGAAAACTGGAAACTAGGAATCACCTGATTTTCAAACTTAATTCATGCTTAGGAATGGTCATTGTGACATATATACACACACATTCCTTCTCACACTTGTCTGTCTGAATTGTATTAATCAAAACAAGTAGGTTAATATGACTGCCATGTCAATCTTGTATTTCAGATTTGGAGAGAAAACCAGGAAACTACATACCTAGGATATCTAGAGCTGTGTCACATCAGCACTCACATTTGTACTGTCTGGGCAACAATGCAGATTTTTCTGCATCCAATTCAGACAAGTAACTGTTTGAGGAAACTATTTCAAGCTACACAAATAGCTGTGCAGGCACAAGGGAAGAAATGACACTGGGCTGGCAGCAAGCGGTGAGGGGCTGGATATGGGAACAACTTAAACTGGCAGTTCATCAGGGGCTTTGTTGACCTGGGGACCAAGAATCGTTTGAATTGCTAAAACAGCAAACAGAAAGGACTCTGATGACAAGTTAAAAGATTTACCCAGATAACTAATGTCTAAACTTAAGCAAGAAGACAGCTAACCCGCAATACGTGCACCCAGTGTTTAATGCATCTAATGACAGAATGATTCTTGTGCCATGACCTGAGTTTTTTAACTTCCTTGTTTCAGTTACTGAGTCAATCTAACATACAGCAGTGTGATTTTTCTACTGCACTCAAGCAGTGTAACAGAGAAAAGAACAGAACTTCCTCCATCATTCCTGGTAAGCTGGTTTTAAGGGGTTTCTTGGGTGGCAAAATTTTTATGAATAGTATGTGTCAAACTCGTCAGCAGGATCTGGTGTTTTGAGCATTGGTGTAGGGCAATGAGTACCTTACTTTTGTAGAGAACTTTTAGTGAAAAATGATTTGGCAAAGTAACTACACAATGAAAGAGAGGGCTGGATAACTCTTCATCCTGATTGATATATCTTAGTTTTGCTAACATTAACTGTAATATGTGAGATCATTACTAAAATTTATCTGTTATTCATGGAACAGACTATTTTATGACCTTTTTTTTTACAGTTGAAAGATCTCGAGTTGGTATCTCATCACTGTCTGGTGAAGGGACAGACTACATCAATGCTTCCTACATCATGGTAAGTCAGTTAACTGCTGATAAAAAATGCCATGCCTTACTGTATACCTGTTCTCAGGGCTGCCAAGGGACTGCATTGTAGTGACATAATTCTGTTTTTGAAAGCTCCTTCCAGCTTTCTTCAATTATTTACCCTTTACTCTCTCCCCACAGTTGTTGTTACTATGATTTTTGTTTTTATGTTCATTTAAGTGTGTATGTGTAGAACCCTCATAGTATTAAAAACCAGTAAGGCTGAATTTCACCTATCAAAGGCTCTACTAAGAGTAACAGATGTTAATAAGTTATTTTTTAATGATTATGTCATGAAACCAAACTTTTGCACCTGGCAGAGCCCAGGGACCATAGAGCATCATCTTTTCATTATCCTTCTTGCTCTGTAGGTTTCCTTCAACTCTTTCCAGTACAGATTAGGGGTTGACCTGCTAGAAAGCAGCTCTACAGAGAGGGATTTGGGAGTTCTGGTTGACAACAAGTTAACCATGAGTCAGCCCTTGTGTGCCCTTGTGGCCAAGAAGGCCAATGCGATCCTGGCCTGCATCAGGAGGAGCGTGGCGAGCAGGTTGAGGGAGGTGATCCTGCCCCTCTGCTGAGTTCTGGTGAGGCTGCACCTAGAATATTGTGTGCAGTTTTGGGCTCCCCAATACAAGAGGGATTTAGAACTTCAAGAAGAGTTCAACATAGGGCCCAAAGATGATTAAAGAGCGTCTATCTTATGAGGAAAGACTAAGCGAGCTGGGCCTGTTTAGCCTAGAGAAGAGAAGACTGAGAGGGGATCTGATCAATATGTACCTGAGGGAAGAATGTAGGGAGGATGGGGCCAAACTCTTTTCAGTGGTGGCTAGTGATAGGACAAGGGCTAATAGGTACAAACTGAAGTACAGGAATTCCATCTCCACATGAAGAAGAACTTCTTTATTGTGAGGATGACAGGACCCTAGAACACGCTGCCCAGAGAAGTTGTGGAGTCTCCCTCTCTGGAGATCTTTCAAACACACCTGGATGCCATCCTGTGCCATGTACTCTAAGTGTCCCTGCTTGGGCAGAGGATTTGGACTAGATGATCTCTAGAGATCCCTTCCAACCTCAACCATTCTATGATTCCTTGATTTTCCCTTTGTTATCTGAAGGAAGGAGTAAGGGCTGTCTTTTACATGGAAAACGTTTATTCGGGAGAGAGAGGGAAAGGATGCCTGCAGTGACGTTTATGCATGATAATTCATCAGATGCATAGAGCAAAGGAGGTATATTTTGTGTTTAGAAGTTGTCTGGGAGGTTTGTCCAAATCAAAAAACTTGCTGGAATTTCTCTTCAGATCTTTCAGGAGATTTACTTTTATTTACTTCATGTCATCCTCTGGGATGGTGGTCAGAGTATTTTCATTCTGTGTTGGCTGGTCATTGCCAACTCTCCAATTATTTCTTTTGTCCTTTTCCTTTAGTTGCTTGAATTTTTTAAAGTTTTAAAAGTTTTATTCTATTCATCTGAAAAATACTGTGATGGTGTGGTGGCAGTTATTTTTTCTGCAAAAGAGGTGTCATTCTGGAATTTATTTTATTGGGCTTATGGCCCTACCTGGTAGACATTCCCTTTAAATGTTGAAAACTAGATGTTAACTCTAAGTCTGTTGACTTTTGTTTGTTTGTTTGTTTTTTTCTTTGGTTTGTTTGTTTTAGGGTTATTATCAGAGCAATGAATTCATTATTACCCAGCATCCCTTACTACACACTATCAAGGATTTCTGGAGAATGATATGGGACCATAATGCCCAAATGATAGTCATGCTTCCTGACAGCCAGAATATGGTAAGATTCATGGCTGATTGCTATAATTTTGTATACAAATTTTACTAGTATAACCATTTTAAAATTTGCAAACAATGAGACAATATATGAGATTTTGCCAAACTCAGTTAAAGATTAATAGTATTGTACTGAATGTAAAATACTCAAAGTCACCTAGTTGATCTGAAGATCCTCATCTGGGCAGATTTCAGTTGGAACGAAAAGGCATTTCATTGTTCCTATTAACATTTATAAAGACTCAAACAGTAGGAGTGATCCTAAACAAGTCTAATTTTGCTCCAAGACTTTTATTTTAGCTGTAATATAGCCTGTTCAACTATTATTAAGTAAAGACATAATACAATGTTTTTTCTCTATCTCATATCCTAAAGCTGCAAATAAAGGGTTTTTTTAGTTGAAATCTATCTGAGAGCTTTTAGGTCAGTATTTACAGAAATTTTGAGGCATGACAGGGCATCATGTTTGGTGACGTGTTTGGAGGAAAGACATGCAAATGTTTCAGAAAGTCAAACTTCTTAACAGTGAGGGTGACAGAGCACTGGAACAGGCTGCCCAGAGAGGTTGTGGAGTCTCCTTCTCTGGACATCTTCAAAACCTGCTTGGATGCAGTCCTGTGCCACGTGCTCTAGGTGACCCTGCGTGTGCAGGGAGGTTGGACTAGATGACCTCTAGAAGTCCCTTCCAACCTTAAGCATTCTATGATTCTATGATTCTATGCATGATTAGAAAAATAAGGACAGACAAGAATTTATTTTTGTCTTCTCACCAAGCATATTGATGAATGTTACACTTCCTAAAAAAAGAGATGGGTTTTTAAGTTAACCTTAATAGCAAGGAAGGTATCTGAAAAACGTCACTTCAGACATTTGTAATTCTGATCAGATTTTGATTTTTCAATTTAAATCTAGTTGGCTGCACTGATTACACAGCACATTATATATTGAGTTGGAGTAAGTTTTATTTTGATATTTGAAAATTCCTTTTTTTTTGTCTTCCTTGAGGCTGAAGATGAATTTGTTTACTGGCCAAACAAAGATGAGCCAATAAATTGTGAGAGTTTTAAAGTTACTATGATTGCTGAAGAACACAAGTGTCTGTCTAACGAGGAGAAGCTCATTATCCAAGACTTTATTTTAGAAGCTACACAGGTAACAGTGTCATAAACTTTGTAACTCTCGAGATTTCATTTGCTAAAGGTAATGCCTACATTTTATTACATTTTCTATGGTAAATGTGAGAGAAATGAGGGCACCAAGATAACAGGACTGGACGAAGTGGAAAAAAATAAAGGGAAAGGGGAGCCTGGGCTAGCCAAGCACAAGGTTAGAGAGCTTCTGGGTGTGCTGTCTGCATGGAGAGGGCAGGGGTTGTCCATTACTATACATTACTATATAACATTAGGATTACTGATGGGTGCTTTCATCTTTTCTACCCCTTCAACATAGCAGATGTGCACAGCGGGCTCTGAACTGCGTTGCACTTATTGGAACAGGGCACCTTGCTGCCATTTCTCAAGAGAAGGGGTTAGGAGGGTCTTGGGCATTTGTAGCCTGTTGCTCTGCAACTGAGCCAGACCTGGAAGGTTGAGTTCTGATGAGATCCTAATCCTGAACAAGAGTCATGTTTTTGTTTCTGTTTTAAAGAAGAATCCCTAGAAATGCTGGTCTCTTTCAGTGATGCCTTAAAAGCGAAAAGATCTGTTTTTTTTTGCTTTCTTCTTTCTCTTAAAATGTTAAGCATTAGTTATGTACTTTTTTTTTTTTTAATTCTCTTTTAGGATGACTATGTACTTGAAGTGAGACATTTTCAGTGTCCAAAATGGCCCAATCCTGATAGCCCTATTAGCAAAACTTTTGAACTGATCAGCATCATCAAAGAGGAAACTTCCAACCGGGATGGACCCATGATTGTACATGATGAGTAAGAACTGTAGCTTTCAATTTGTCTTGATATTTTTTCTCTAGAGTCACATTTGCTGCTAATTTAGAATGAGGGTCACTGAAACAAGGCAGGAAGTCTGCTCCTAGCAGGAGCGCTGATGCTCTGTTTTGACTGCATCAAGAGAGACACATTTGGATTTAATCATGCACTGAATGTTCTTTTTTCAGTTTGATCATTTTTGATACTCTGTATCATTACTGAGTTGGGTGGTGGAAATGAAATCAATCAGGGCTTCATTCTTTATTATTGAGAGAAATTAGGTTATTTAGCTGAGGAGACTTACCCTGCCCCAGATGTTAAAACATGACTGAGAATAATGAATTATTGTAAATGGACCTTAAAGCCTTCCCGATTCTCTTAGTACATGATTGTGGGGAAACACTTCTAAGATGACTTTTAAAGTCTCCCCAAAAGTTGTAGTCAAGTACTGTGAAGATCGTGCTAAGGCACTGCTGTGCAGTTTCAAAAAGGTGTAAAGATCACATCATGGAAATTCATCTTATCTGTCTACCCTAGCCCTTGTATTTTGTCTAGCTGTGGGAATCTGACCCAGTTGATAGACTTTTATCTGTGTATGTGTTTTTGTTTTGTTTTGT